GTTGTCGGATGGGGATCGAACTTTGATTTGGCCGAGACCCAGTTCTTAGTGGAGGTGATGTGGCATTTGGGAGTGAGTGTCTAGCCGAGGACTGCTGTAGTAGCATCCTCTGTCGATCGATCTCCTCGACCTCTCGATACCACTCCCATCTCTTCCCAGGTGGATTCCTCTCAAACTTCTCCTGTATGCTACGAGTGAGACTACCTCTGAAGAGATCAATCACTAGCTCATTGTCATCTAGGTTGACCTGTCCTTCCAAGTCTCTGAACCGCTCTACATGACGTGTGGCGGCACCAGGAGCATCACTTGTGAGTCTGAGAGCCAACAGCTTGTTGTATGCCTCCATCCTAGCATTGCGTGGGTTGAACTGCTCTGACAGTCGCTCTGTGAAGTAGTGCCAATCATTGAACAACCTTCCTTCTCTAGCTCTATCAATACGGAGCTTGGAGGTCCACCACTCTCTTGCTGTCCCTTCCAGTTGAGCACCCATGTGATTGATCATCCTAGACTGCTCATACACCTGGTTGAACTTAAACCATGCTTCGGCTTCTAGAATGAAGATCTCCATGTCTCGGGGATTGAACTTTGGAAAGGGGGTGGCAATGGGCTTTGACCGGTTAAGCTCTGCCATGATGCTGGTATCCTCCTCGTGGTCCAGGGGGTAAGGGTCCGTCCTAGTCCTGCTGTAGGGGTCCAGCTTAGTCTTGACATATCTTGGCCCAGTAGGTGAAGCATACTTCTCATAGTTGATGTCCTCCTGCTCATCCAGGTTGAATGAGACTGATCGTCTTGATCGTGGAGCAGGAGTAGGAGTATGTGGGTCTCCTATCATAGACTCATCTCCTCCTCCTGCTTGGTCTTCCGAGTGAGAGAGGTCCATTGTCTCCTCCCTACCCAGCTGAGCTCGTTGTAGTCGTTCCTCTCGATGACCCTGCCTAGTAAGCTCTAGCTGAGCTTCCAATAGAGTGAGTAGTCTATCGAGCTTATTGTTGAGGTCTGGGTCCGTCATGGTGATCGTGAGGAGCTGCTTGAACGATCCACTCTAATGTCAGGGGTCTCGCGCCTGAAACCCAGGTCGGTCTGTCGAGATACTCGGTGACTATTAAACTGTGTGACAGCTATTGTCTCGGTATCGGTGACTATCAAGTTGTGCAGTGACAGCAGGTGGCGTTCGTTGTATATACTATCGTAGGTTTCGGCTGACCTCTGTGGACACTCCGTTCAGGGGTAGCTCGGCACGATCAATATCAATGTTATGATGACACCAAGGTCTGGTGTGGGTGTTGATGATGTTGAGGTTGATGGTGTTGGTGATGAGATTGGTGATGTCGATGATAATGAGGTTGATGGTGTTGATGATAAGGTTGGTGATGTCAATGATAATGAGGTTGATGGTGTTGGTGATAAGGTTGGTGGCGTCAACACGAGTGTCCAGTGTGTTGACTTGATGCTTTGAAGTGATCCCCGGACCGCAGTGGACTACTGCCTTCGGTTCTATCTATATCCGGACCGCTAACCTGCTATGGGCGCCTTCGGACGTCAGGTAGTGGTGATACAACACACACACTACGATGAGGAGCAACCTTGATAGATTGCTGCTATGCTGACTGTAACTAATGAGTACTTGTGTTTCTAAAGTATTGACTAGTTGTATGGTGAGTAGAGTGGATGGGGATCCACTCGACCTATGATGATGAGAAAGCATGGTTATATACCTCTTCACAGCATTGCCAGCGATGCTGCTCCTGCTCTCTCTCCAGAGAGTACCTTCTTCATCGAGTACTGCTCAGGGGCCTCTCCTGCTTGGCACCCCTGTGCCTCTTGAGTGGTGTCGACTCCTTCGACGCTGCTCCTCCTCCTCATGACCTGTGTCGACTTCCTGTCTCTCGAGCCCCTGAGTGGTAACCATCTGAGCTTGGTCCTCCTCGTGGCTGCGCCTGCTCTTTGAGCTTGGTCCTCCTCGTGGCTGTGCCTGGTCCTCCTCGCATATGGGCTCAGTGCTCCTTTGCATGTGAATCCATAGGAGTCCATGGTCTCCATGGAGACTGCACTACGACCATGCTCTCTACTGGTATCGACTAGGTCTTCGATACCTGTGCTCCGTCCATATGAACCAGTGACCCTCCTGCTTCTTGAGCATCCAGGCCCATGACACCTGCTCCTTGAGCTTGGTCCTCCTTGCGGCTGTGCCTGGCCCTCCTCACATGTGGCTCGTGTCCTCCTTTGCATGTGAATCCATAGGAGTCCACGGTCTCCATGGAGACTGCACTACGACCATGCTCTCTACTGATCTCGACTAGATCTTCGATACCTGTGCTCCTTCCATATGAACCCGTGACCCTCCTGCTTCTTGAGCATCCAGGCCCATGACAACTATTGCCTACAGATGATGAGAAGTACTGGACTGCAGGTGCTTACACACTGCCTTCAGTAAATGACTGGACTGCAGGTGTTGAGCAACACCACCTACAGTGGTGAACTGGACTGCAAGTGTTTGGGGAACACCACCTACAGTTGACATCTGATGGTGATACAACACACATGTTTGAGATGTTGTTGCAAAAGCCCTGCTATTGCAATGATATGTAACTAAGAGTCAAGTAACAAGTAGTAAGATATAGAGTAGAGTGGATGAGGATCCACTTGTATGCTTTATGGTGAAATGAGAGTATTTATGTGTTTGCTCAGTATTGCCTGTGACACTTTGTCACCGGAATGGTTCCGTTCTCCGAGTCCGGAGCATTTGGGAGTGAAAAATGCTTATACTTCAGTGTTGTGTGAATCAGGTACACCAGCTAAGGGACTAGCTGGTGTAGTGGTTTTGCTGCTCACTATGTTCGGTTTGGTTACCCGATTTCCCGATCCCGTGACACACTTCTCCTGCTCCTTCAGAAAGGGGTTATCACCCCTTTCCGGCACTACTCTCCTTGAGCTGTGTGCCAGCTCCTCTAGTGCTACTCTTCTGCTGCCTGGACAGTGTGTTGGATTATTCAACACTGCACCTTAACCTCTATGCTCTTCTACACCTGGTGATATGTGTCGACCCCTTTGGCACTGTTCTTCTGCCTTATGGTCAAAACCCTGGTCTCCTTGACACAGATCTCTCTCTCCTGACTGGTGACCATCTTCCCATCTCTGATCTCATGAATCCCTTGATTGCATGCCAAACTCTATTGTCATGCTCCCTGGTCATGTGGTTGCCCCTGTTGCCAGTTCTATATGGTGGTGAGCACATCCCCCTGAGTGGTAACCATCTGTGTGATCCTGAGCTCAGTCCTCTTCTTGCATGTGATCATTCCCATATACTTCCTTAACCTTCCAGTGTCAGGCCCCCTCTTCCAATCCTCCATTACTTCCTTGTGACAGATGACCTGTCCTGTACCCATGGTTTTGGTTAGCATGTTTTGGTGAAACCTACTGGCTAGGCTTGTTCCAGTCAATCCCAATGAGATTAACTAAATCCTTATGTTGTTGTTGATCTCGCAAATTATGCATGCAACTAGCCTGATCAGATTGTTGTCACCCGATGCTTGCTTTTTTAGATTCTTTCTGTGCAGGACTTTCTGCGCAGACCCTGTGACAAACATTCATAGAAGGCTTCTATGATAGATTTCGCCAAGGTTGGGTTTAATCGACCTTTACCACAGATTTTGGGTTTCAGGCATGTGACCGCTGACAAAAGTGTTACGGATGTGCCACATAGCCTCTGAATGGAGTGTTCAAGGTGGTCAGCCGAAACCTACCAGAATTCAGCCATCTGGTTACTTTCACCAAAACACACCAAGTAGAGCTCACTCAGCTGATCTCACTGATATCAACCAGAAACACCAAACCTGGTTTCAGGTGTGCAACTGCTTACAGACAGCTTCAGCTTCAATTTCATCAGTAGCTTCATTATTGGTTTGTACTTGGACTGTTTTGCCCTTTCTGCCCCCCCCCCCTAGCTCTCTTGGTGGTCTTGCTGGTGCCAGCTTGGGGTTCTGTTTCTTCTACCATGGTTGTTGATGGGCCTCCTTAGCTCAGTTGATAGAGCATCAGACTCTTAATCAGTTGAAATATAACAAAGTGTGATGCACCACTTTGGAGCCACAATCAGGCTTTCTTACCACAGGTGTACAGCTACATGAATACTTATTATTTATATAGAGGTGTGTGACCACATGGGCATATATATACCTTAGCACTATCTTTGAGAATGTTGTACTGAGATGAGTCAAGTACCTCCTGCAGTACTCATGAATTGTTGCCATGGCACCCTTTATGAAACTCATATGCATGTTGCTTATTCACAAGCTTGTTCTATTGGTGTCTCAGGTAAACCTTTGTAATGCCGATTGGGATGCCAATGTATCTTCAACTAAGGACCACAGACCCGCGCTTTCTGCTGGCGTGAACGCACTTTTCTACCCCTCTTTGGGAGGAACGCACGCACGCACGCTCTCACGCAACGCAACACACACGCGCGAATCCTATCCAACCCCCGACTCGATTCTGTATGCCTTCTGCCACTCAAAACGCACGTTGAGCTGCCCTCGCTGTCGCCATTTCTTTCTGCGCCACGACCTTCCCTTTGTCCTCAACACTTTATTTCGACTGCTGTCGACATTGCTCAGTGAACAGCGTCATCGATCGCCAAACTTCTTGACATCTCCAAGCCAAACCATCCCGTGTATGATTCAAGGTCGATAGGCTTTTCTCCGCCTCGTCTCCGAAACATCGAGATCCGGACACGGCTCAGGTCAGGTACGTCTCTGCCTTCAACACTGTTTCCGCGCTTCCTTGTTGGCTTCATTTCGCACAGGCAAGACCGAGAGGAGCTGCCACAACTTCATTTCATCAAGGGAACCTCGCTGACGCTTCAATACACCTTCGCACCTACTGTCTCGGTCACGCTGCCATCGAAACGACCCTTACAGGCGAAGCTCGCTGCCCTCACTCGCAACACAATAGCTCGCCTCCTCTAGCAGTCTAACCTGCAAGCCAGCAAGCAGTTCGTAATCATGTCTGGCTTCCGCAGCGCGTCCAATGGCGCTTCTGGCAACTCACAGCAGGGCTCGTTTGGCTCCCTGACGCCCTCGCGACCTGCACCTCCCGTCCCGACCAGCAAGCACAACGACCCTTTCCTTCCACCTCTCTCGCAGTACAACCCTGGACCTAGCTCTGTCGGAATGGGCATGGGCGCTGGTGGAGGCTCCTACACCGGTCCATTGCGTCCTGCTGGCCCTGGTGCTACTGCTTCCGGTGCTGGACCAGCAAGCCATCTCGGCTCCAACTCGAACTGGCAACAGGCTGGTCCAGGTGCCACAACTAGCGGCGCTGCCGTTGTAAGGAAGGGCTGGGTCAGTGTCAAGGAGGATGGTATCCGATCTTGGATCTGGAGCAAGCGATGGCTCGCTCTCCGCGAACAGACACTCACTTTCCACAAAAACGAGACCACCTACCAGGCTGTCGCCCTTGTCTTCCTTAAGGACATCTCCAATGTCTCGCGTACCGATCTCAAGCCATACTGCATCGAAGTCGAGACCAAGGACAAGACCTTCTACCTCCAGCTCAAGAGCGACGAAGAGCTTTACGGCTGGATGGACGACATCTACTCACGTTCGCCCCTCATGGGCGTGTCCTCTCCCACCAACTTTGTCCACCAGGTTCACGTCGGCTTCGATCCCATCAGCGGCGCTTTCACCGGCTTGCCCGAGCAGTGGTCCAAGCTGCTCACCACTTCTGCCATCACTCGGGAGGACTATGAAAAGAACCCACAGGCCGTTCTTGACGTTCTCGAGTTCTATACCGATATCCAGAAACGAGAGCGCGACGACTTTGGTCTCGGCACTCCGACTATGAACTTGCAGTCTGGACGCAAGCCCAACGAGATCCCGAGTGCCTCTGCGGCGCCCCGCTTCAAGGCAGGCACCGGCTTCGCTGGCAGTGCAGGCGCCGACTCTGACTCTAACTTGTCCAAGGAGGCTCCCCAATACCCTACTGCAGCCAAGCCCCCTTCAGATGCCTTCCGCAGTTCGCCTTCTGGCGCTGCCTCATCTCAGTCCTCGTCGACACTCAGGCCAACGCAGTCCTCCACCATGACGAGGCGGCCCTCCGACGACGGTCGCCAAGACGCGTCCAGCCCTGCTTCTTCGCAAGCCTCCCCTTCTCGTTTCGGCGGGTCTGCTTCCAACGACTCCAAGTACGGCCGTTCCACTCCTGGCGGTTCCAGCACTTCTGCCTCTACTGCACGCCCTGACCTGGTCCCATCTCGCAAAGCTCCTGCTGCTCCTGGCGCCCCTAAGACATCTACACCCGCCTCGTCCCTCGCCTCGACTCGACCTGCACCGCCCCCTCCCAACTCTTCAGCTCCCAGCCGTGTTGCCAATGATGGTGGTGTTCAGGGTCTCAATGTCAAGGCCAAGGAGCTCAAGCTCGGCAACGATTCTGCTGGTGTCTCTCCTTCATCTTCCAGCGCCGCTGCTGCCGCCGCTAAGCAGCCTTCTGCAGCGGCACCATCAAGCTCGTCTGCCGCCGCTGCTCAAGTCAAGCCCCTCCAGATGGCTAAGAAGGAGACCGGTGCCAAGACAGCACAGCAGAAGGAAGCTGAGCGACGCATTAGCACCATGTCCGAAGCACAGATCATGGAGAAGCTTCGCTCCGTCGTCAGCCCAGATGACCCCAACATGCTATACAGCAAGATCAAGAAAGTCGGTCAAGGTGCTTCTGGTTCTGTCTTTGTCGCCAAGACGCTCGCCACTGGCCAGCGTGTGGCTATCAAGACGATGGACTTGTCACAGCAGCCGCGCAAGGAGCTTATTGTCAACGAGATTTTGGTCATGAAGGAGTCGCAGCACCCCAACATTGTCAATTTCCTCAACTCGTTCTTGGTGCGTAACAACGAGTTGTGGGTGATCATGGAGTACATGGAGGGTGGTGCCCTTACCGACGTTATTGACAACAACACGCTCGAGGAGGACCAAATTGCCGCTATTTGTCTCGAGACCTGCAAGGGTCTCGAACATCTCCACAGCCAGAGCATCATTCACCGTGATATCAAGTCTGACAACGTGCTTCTCAACGCCAGTGGCCAAGTCAAGATCACCGATTTCGGTTTCTGTGCCAAGCTTACCGACCAAAAGTCGAAGCGTGCCACCATGGTGGGTACGCCTTACTGGATGGCCCCCGAGGTGGTCAAGCAGAAGGAGTACGGCGCTAAGGTTGATATCTGGAGTTTGGGTATCATGGCTATCGAAATGATCGAGAACGAGCCACCTTATCTGGACGAAGAGCCACTCAAGGCACTGTACCTGATCGCGACCAACGGTACACCGACGCTGAAGAAGCCCGAGACGCTGTCCAAGAACTTAAAGAGCTTCTTGGCGGTTTGTCTGTGTGCTGATGTCAAGAGTCGAGCTTCGGCGGACGAGTTGCTGCATCATCCCTTCTTGCAGTCATCCTGCCCGTTGTCGAGCCTTGCGCCATTGCTCAGGTTCCGCAACAAGCCTGACCGTTAAGGCTTGTCGACGAAAGTACCTGGTTTGTTTTGTTACAACTTTTACGACCTACTACAATGATATTGTTCTTATGCCATTCCTTGTCCTTTGTGAAGCTAGAGTTCGAGCTCCTCCGTCTGTAATTTATTCTGTCACTGATGCTTCTAGTTTCGTGGTTGCCAAACATAATTGAGGTTCCACAGGCAAGCCAAACGAGGGCCATGCAGAAGAACAAAAATTGTCACAAAAAAAAAAATATAAAAAAACGATGCAAAAAGTGTCCTCGGCGAGAGTCGAACTCGCGATCTTAGGATATCTAAACGCATTGCTGCAATTTGTAGGTTGATTCCTGTGTAACAGGATCGTTGGTATGAGACCTACGCCCTAACCAACTAGGCCACGAAGACGCTGTTAGAGATCTAAACAAAGGTGGCATATATTTAGGTTTAAACTGGTTTAAGTTTTGTTCCTTACAGCTTGGCAAAGACTTTGGCCTGCTAAAGCGGAATTACACACATTTTAGAACATCGCAAAGAGAAAAAAAAATGTATGTTACTGCTAAAGGAATGCTAGTTGATGGGTTTTACGAACCCTTTGGACACCAAATAGTATACCAATGTTGAGTCGGGAGCGATGATTGCAAGCAAGACGTGTGATGTGTCGATTTCTTGGCCTGTTGGCGCGACAGCTTCTGCATGCTTGTCGAGTAAGGTAAAGATTGCTTTTAGTCTGCATCAGATCGAACCGGACATAAGAAGGGTGGAGAGCGCATAGCAATATTTATATATATATGTCAGCAGAACGAAGAGATGAGGAGCGGATGAGGAGGAGATCGTAGGCTTGTGGACGTACTGGTCAGCGCGCAAGTGTTGAGTGATGGTCAAAGGGATGACTACCTCATATGCTTTCTGTAGATTGTTCTTAGAGGACGAAGACAGAGGTCAGCATGCAATTTCATGATGAAATGCAAAGAACGAGCGGCTGCTAGCACTTGTGGCTTTGAAAATGTACATACCGCATCCTTTCGACGACCTTTCATTGCTGCCAAGCCTGTCCTCAAGAGATTTTCCTCCTCCTCTTCTCCCTTTCGGCTGATCAAGCCTAGCTTCGACACACCTCCTTGCACCTCCGCTAGCTTTTCCTGCACCAGCGCTTCCGCCTCGGCATCACTCAATCCCACCAGGTCCTGTTTGACCACCCCTTCCGCACCTCCGTTTCCACTTGTCGATGCTTCCTGGGACGAGAGCGCCAGAGGTTCGACAAAATCCCACGCCGCAGCACCATTTTTGAGATCGAGATATGTTTGGAAGATAGCGGATGCTTGTGTTGGGTATTGCTTGCACAGTGGTGCTATGGCTGGGTAGGATGGATGTGATGCAGGAGGGCCGAGGGAGAAAGATTTCGTGCCGACCTCTGCGTCTAGTAGTTTTTCGTCTGTACGTCGTTTATATAGGCGGCCACGGTAGTGAGAAGGTCTGAGAGTCAGTGCATGCGAGACTTCAGGGAGTGAGAGAAGTGTGAAGCATGCTTACACTGTTGGCTCTTCGAAAGCTGATGAGATGTTGCGGCGGGCAGAGGAGACGAGTCGCTGCGACTGCTTCCTCCGACGCTGTGTATCGAGGTCGATGCCATGTTGATGAGCGTGAGCTACGTAGCTGCGTAGGCCGGGGAATGCGCCTCTGTAATGGAGTAGTCGAGTAGGAGGTGCGAGTGACGGCGATGCAGATGTTGTCGGTGCATTGAGGAAAAATTGAACATTCTTCTCCACTTTCAGGGTGCTGTTGAGACCGAATTTCTGTATGTCAGACCTTCGAAAGTATTAGAAAGAAGACCAGAAAAAAAACCAAGACACATCAAATTTATTCCGAAGTTTGAACTCAATCGGCAGCTCGCATGACCCGCCGGCATCGTCCTTCTTGGTTGCTGCATTGCTGCGGGTACTTGTCATGCATCAGCATTGATCTCCACATCTCGGACAGAACACGATACAGGCTAGGCCATGAAATCTAGCGGAAGGTGAAGAGGCCATGTTTCCCAAGATTCCTGCCATCCGAGACGGTGAATGAAGAGACCTGGAAAGATGGTGAGACCTTGGAGCAGGCGATGGAAGGACGGCACGGTGCTCAAGTGCACACGACCACACGCGCACGGCATGGTGCAAATGGTCAGGCCGATGGTTTGGTTGAACTCCGATCTAGACGGGCCGGAATATTTCCTCCGGCTGTAGACCTGACACTTTGGTCTATGCAAGCGCTTTGTGTTGTGAGATGTACCCGCTCGGCTGCTCCTCACCGAGCTTTGCCGGTCCTGTGAACCTTTTCTCGGGGTCCATCATCTGCAGAGTGAGAGGTGTGAGATGTCCTTGTGCGAGAGTATTTGTGTGTGGATGCAGACATGAAGTGTGAAGAATGGAGACGACGATCTCGGGAGGGGATGCTGAGTTACCACGCGGTGGCATCACGTATTGCCGAGATGTTGTTTCTCTTTGTACATCTATGCCGCCGGCACACCCGCATGGACTTGCCTTATCACGCGATGAGACACCTCGTAGTTTTCACTCGTTTGACCTCGCTTCGCCATCGCCCCTTTCGTTCAAACCTACCTGAAACGATGCTGTTGCCCCTTCACTCGCTCTGCAGCCTATGTTTTGCAAGCCCTGAGCCCTTTATGTTGTCTTTGCCGCCTTGTCAAGCTGCGGACCACTGAGTCCCGGCGCCGATTGTGTGCCCGTGAGCTCTTCCTCGTCTCAGTGAGCTCAACTCGCGTGGTCAATTGTCCATCCGATCTGCAAACTTTCCTGTATGCGCTACCCCAGCTGACAGACCTAAGCCTGCGCTGGTCACAGCCTCTAGCTGTTGCCGTGGTACAAGCACCCTACAGCCGCATCGATCTACAGTGTGGAAGCGGCGTGAAGAGACTGTACCAAGATCCTCAATGGCGCTGTGTACCTCTGGTTGACTGTCACATCCACAGCTGCAGCCCTTCCTTGCCCTTCCTTGCCCTCCTCAGCCTGTTATCTTGCCTCCTATCCACCATCTATATACCCTTCTCGGTCCTAAACATACTTCCAGATGCTGCTTATCATCATCTCGCGCTCAGCACAGGACGCTTCAAAGGACAGATCGACTGCTCTTTTGGCCCTTTCCGAGCATTTCAACAGCCTCATTGTCAAGCGACAACCAACTTCAGCTTAGTTCACGATGGAGTCCTACTTCAAAGACGGAGCCCATATAGCCTTAATGTCATCGCAAGAGGAACAACAAACAAGGGACCACCAGTGTTCGCAGCCAGATCAAGCAGAGAACACTTCACCTCAGCTTTCCTGGCGCAGCTCCTCATCATCATCCACCACAGTCTTCGATTGTGAGGAGGCAAGTCATCCTCATGAGAGGTCTATCGACTACAACGGCCATGAGTGGTCTAGTGGTCCCGAGTCGTCGGACACACTGGTAGGCACCTTCATCGCCAACCACTTTTCCAGTCTTAAGCAGAAGGGCAAGTCTGGGTACATGCAGCTTCCCGACAATTCTTACGCCTCGAAACCGAGGTTGGGTACAAGCAAGAAGAAAGCCGTCTGCCTCCTCCTGTTCGCGGCAACCTTGCTTGGTGCCGGAGGCAAGGCGGTACTTAAAGCTATCAATCAGGCCTCACACAACGACCACAAAGATCCCTTCACTGTGTCTCTTCACGATGAAGACTCGCTTCAAGATGCTTCAATAGAGATCCCCACACTACCCCGACCCGTGCAGCCTTTCTCCGCAGATGAGGTGCTCCCTTTCAAGTTGCATCACGATGACAGTGTAGAAATTTCCACTATTGCACCTCAGCCATCAGCGACTAACAAGCGGCAGCTCACTTCGATTCCAGCACAGCAGCTCTTGTTTGACAAGCAAGGATGTGTCGAGGCATGGGTAGGCCAAGGCACCGTATGTGACGAAATGAAGGTCGCTTATCGAGAAAGACCGGATCATACTAGCATCGACTTGCTCTACTCATGGGTTAATGGATCTGACTGGCGTCACTCGAGTGCCAAGTGGTTGCACGGATACCGTCCGACAGGTCGTTGGCAAGAATATGTTGAGGAGGATCTGTTTCCATCAGTGCCCTCTCCTGAGGGTAGAGACTTATACCAACCACGATCTGTCGCTCGCCGTTCGTTGACACAGCCAAAGCCAGTTGACGACAAGAAGCTACCTCGCAGAGGAGCAGCGATCCGGAACCGCTTCCGCGACCACGAAGAGCTGTGCTACTCCATGCGTTCAGCAACGAAGCACCTCCATGGTTTGGCGAACATTCACATTGTGTCTCCCGACTTTTCAGCGCCGTACCACTTGCAGCCTGGAGCGAAGCAATCGTCGCCTCCCAACGCAGTCAAAAGAGCCCTGAACAAGGTTGCCTCTACTTTGCGTCGTCGATCTACACCGCCACCCTTCATGCTGGACGTCCAAAGGCTCACAGAGGGCTTTGTCGGTTTGCCTTCCCAGCTTCGTAGAGTTCAAGGCCTCGGAACTGACCGCTTCACCTCGGGCGAAGGCCAAATCCGAGAAGGCCAAGTGCCGCAATGGCTTTCCGTCGCTAACGCGACTCACGTTGTTGCAGGTCAAGAAGCTGCCTCGCCGACCTCAACATCCTTCCTTGACTCTCTCACACATCTGCTCACTCCCGACGTCACAACACCCAAAGTACACCTGCATCACGACTGGAACGCATTTACCGAGAACTGGCTCGTAACCCACCCTCTGACCCCTGCCGAACACAAACACCGCAACGACTATAAACGCGCTGCTTTGCCAACCTTCAACTCAATGGCTGTCGAGTCGATGCTTGGCAACCAACCTGGACTTAACGACAACTTCATCTCCTCTAACGATGACTTCTTCTTCCTAGACGATGCGACGACGGCAGACTTCACCTCACCTTTGTTCGGACCTGTGATGCGACTCGACTACAATCTGGTGGTCGAAGGGAAGCAATCGCCTGATTCGACTCCGGGTGAATGGTCTTCCCTCTGGCACACCAGCTGGTTGCTCGATCAACGATTTGGTCAACGTAGCAGACCTTACGTGCAGCACGTCCACAAGAGTTTCTCCAAGTCGCTACTGCAGGAAGCACGTGTGGGTTGGGCATACGAGCATGCTAAACTTGGTCTCAACAGGTTTCGTAATGGAGGAGACAACATTGTGACCCATTTCTTAGCTTATTACAACGTCGTTGAGAGACACCGCGAAGCTTTGCTTTGGAGTTTCTTCATGCTCAGACTTGACGAGGATGGAAACGGACTGGTCTCTTCGCAAGAACTGCAATCTGCAATGTCGCAAATGGGTCTGACTCAAAAACAGATGGCCGACGCTTCTCCTGAAGCACTGTCCACCACAACAAACCGCAACTTGACAGTAACAGTCAAACTCGCCAAACGTACCACTCTTGCCGCCAACAACCCCAACTCTGCTCTCATCAAAACAAGCTTCCCTGTCCCACTCAAATCTCGGTACGCCTTCACTTCTCAAGACGGTTACCCGCTGGGCGAGCTCTCCGATCGAGTCATTTTCCGACGTGAGGTTCCCGATGAAGGCTTCGTAAAGGAACGAGGTTGGCGCTATGCCTCGGGTTACGAAGCACCCAGACGAGGTGAAGGTACTTACTGGGGATGGCCTGATTTCGTTGATGAGCCTGCAGCACACCCGAAGAACGAATGGCATAATCGTAGGTTCGAACATTCTGCTTGTCAGCTGGATCTCGATCGGTGCCTTCTCCAACCTTTTCCCCACTTGGGGCAGTCCGGGAAGGTGGAGTGGGAGCAAATCTTCAAGCGATTCACTCATGTCGATGTGTCCTGTGGTGACTGCTTGATCCACCATCTTGTGTCCCAATCTGGTCAGCGGGGGTTGAACGCTTTTCTCCCGCCCTCAGACCGCACTTTTACCGGGCCCAGCGAAGAGAAAGCTTCACATCTTGCCGAAGTCCCCCACCTTCCCCTCACATCCTCCTTCAACAGCTCAGCCCGCGAAGTCCCTCCCGCATTCGAAGCCGAATCTCCCTGCTTCACCCTCTCATGCATTCTCTCCAACTCTGGCTACGGCCACAACACAAATCTCCGCACATTCGCAAGTCAACTCATCCAACGTTACTCCTACACTATCGCCGAGTCTCCGGTTAAGTTCGAACGACTAGAAACGCAGAATAACGCACGAAAGATCATGACTGCTCTCGAAGAATCTACCGTTCGAGAGTCTGCTTTGGATCGATTCCGCGACCAGTACCAGCAACAGCATCCTCAGCCGGAAGAGTATGCAGAAGTGGCTGTAGACGAGGAGGAGGTGGTTGGAGAAGCGGAAAAGTGGCTTGAAAGCCAAAGTCAAATCGACACCAGTCGGCCGATTCTAGTCTGTATCAACGACGACATCACCGATCGATGGATCGCAACCGTTGGACCCCAATTCACCAAGTGGCTACGCAGAATGTGGCCCGAGAAGCAACCTTGGGAACTTTAGCCTCTGTACTTATACATCACCAGAGAAACCAAACCATCACTTCCGCACAGAAGAGATCGTTGTGTGAGAGCGAACAATAACAACAAGTTGCATACTGGTGAGCGAGGTACGAATACAAAAAAAGAAGTAATACAGAGTGAGTGAGCGAGTGAGCTGTGCAGAACAAGAAAAGACACAAGTGTGTGTGTGTGTGTGTGTGTGCGGCGGTCTATATGGAGTTCGATCGGGAGGATATGGTATCAAAGAGAGGGGGAGAAACGACCGTGTATGTGATCCGGTAACTACTACGAGGAAAAATCTATTATTGAAGGTGAGAATACTGTTGTTGCTGCTGTTGAGCAAGAGAAGCAGTGCTTCGGTAAGAAGGAATGGATCTGCCATGATCTGCCTGCGGCTGCTGATGGTGAAGACGACGAGAAGGGACACTGGCGAATGGCCTGCCAGAGTTGGCTGCCCAGCTGACTTGCTCTTGCTGCTGCTGCGCCTTGGCGGCAGCAGCCACGGCGTCCTGGTCCCATCTGCTTTGCAACCACCTTGCAGGCAAGCCGCATGTAGAAGTTTTGCCGCTACCATCGACCACCAGACACTCTTCCCCAACATCGGTGTAGAAGTGGCTACGCTTGCTGGCTAGCGTGGGCGAGTAATCGGCGCCAGCCTTCCTGACTGCCAACGCTGCTGCATCTTCCATGCTGTGAGGAACGAATTGCGGTGTAGGCGGAAGACCAGTGTACGACGCCGAGCTGCGACGAGACTCTCCACTGCCACTGCGCGATGAGCAGTCATCCGAATGTCCTTCTCGGTCATCCATCGCGGCCGAACTGTGCATGTCGCGGATGGGCGAAGGCACGGCGGCGCTGGCGGGGATGTTGACACCGAGGCAAGGAGTCTGTGGTGCGGGGTGGACGACGCTCATGCTGGTGAGGTTCGAAGCGACGCGGTGTTGGGGACGATCATCAGCAGGCCGGGCGATGGGGTGTCGCGACCAGTCAACATTCGATTGCTCGCAAGACATGTGACCCTCTGCCGAGCGGTCAGGAGCATCAGTAGGTGAGAAGGATCCGTCACCTTCGCAGCTGCTGTTGTCGAGCTCCGAGTCCGAGTAGCTATCGTAGGAGGAAGTGGCGTTGGCGTCGGCATGCGAGGCGTAGCGAACATTGTGCTGGTGGTTGTGCGAGTGGTGGTTATTAGCATAGACCACGGGTGGTTGAGCGATCTGGTCAAATGCAGCGACCTGAGGTTGGTAAGCAACACGGGCACACTCGCTTTTACGAGCGGCAGCGACATGTCGAACAACTTCGGGAGCCTGCTGGTTGTAGGCGTGGGCATGTGCGGCGGCGCGGGCAGCTTCGAGAGCAGCCTGCTGCTTGCGTTGCTGGTCGCAGTACTTGGCGGCCTCGGCGGCCTTCTCTGCTTGACGCGCAGCGTTTGCCTCGGCAGCGGCTTGACGTGCAAGCTCCTGACGTTGCTTGACTTCGGCAGCGGTAGCAGTGAGCCTGTCGAGGCTGCGGACCATCTTCCTGAGATCGGCGATGGAGCAACGAGCTTCGGCACGGAAAGTGAAGACACACCTGAGGATGGTGTTGACGCCCTCGGAGATGGGTAGAATCTCTTTGAGGAAGTCAGGGTTGCGGAGGTACTCGCGGAAGGTCTCGTCGGCAGGGCAGGCCTGCTTCCATGGGTTGCGCCCGCAGATGAGGTTGACGAGGATGACACCGAGAGACCAGACATCGTTTGCTGCTGTATTGTAGCTGGTGAGACGACGAGTGATGCCGCCTTGGCATTCGGGGCCCATGTAGAAGGTGCTGCCGCATCCAAAGTCGGAGCTGGTCTTGTCACCTGTTGCGAGACCGAAGTCGGCAAGGACAACCTTGACGCCTCCACGTAGACACAAGATGTTTTCTGGTTTGAGGTCACGGTGATAGATACCCATGGAGTGGCAGAACTCGACGGCGTCGAGGATCTGGTCAAAGACATCGCGAATGAGTGCATCCATCTTGAGACGCTCATCGGTGAAGGCAACGTCGACGCCATGTTTCTCGGCAGTGCGCGAAGCGGAGCTAGGCAACATATAGCGTTGTGTCTCTGTGATCATGCTGAAGAGGTCGCCATCTGGGCAGTAATCGAGGACGACGTAGACGCAGGGGTCTTGTGGATCGTCGATGACACGGTGAAGGGTGACGACGTTGGGGTGAGCCGAAGCCATGGTGTGAAGCATGATCTCACGACGTTGGAAAGCACGCTGGCGAGCATCAAGGCCGACTTTGTTGAGACACTTGACGGCATAGTAGCCGGAAGCGTGACCCTGCTTGGCGGCGAGGAGCGAGGCAGAGGCTTGGTGAGAAGAGGTGGAGGCGTAGGGGCCCTGGTGTTGGTGGAGGTCACGAGCAAGGTAGACGACACCGTAAGCGCCGAGACCGAGAACAGAGACGAGCTCCAAGCGCCCATCGGCAATGCGGTGGCCGATGAGGTTCTTGTGCTGCTGGTTAGCACTCGCCGACGACATGATGGCAGACGAACGAGGCAAGGTGTTTAACGAAAGACAAGATCAGGTGCTGACGAGTCAAGTCAAGTTGGTGATGTCGTCAATGGAGTCGAACGAAACGAATGCTGTGTGTCAGGAAGCAAAGGGCTGAAAGGGAAACAGTCGGCAGCAACGACAAGACGAAGTATCAGAGACGGGATTGAGTCGATTGCACAGTGGTCATCGATACTGGTCGAGCGACGGTAGACGACGTAGTGATGGAGACTAGCTGAAGCTGAAGTATTGAAACTGGCTGACTAGCAAGGGAGCTAAAGACGAAGAAGGCTAGTGCGAGCAGCAAAGATGGTCAAGAGAGTGTATGTGTTGGGTGAGTTGGTCAAGATCAACAGCAGAGCGAAAAAGTTGTTTGCGTAATACTTTATGACTAGGTGCGAATGGCGCGAATGGTGTGAATGGTGCGAATGGTGCGAATGGTGCGAATGGTGCGAATGGTGCGAATGGTGCGAATGGTGCGAATGAGCGCTGTCGTCGTACTGTTGTTGATGATGATGATGGTGAAGAAGCAACGACGGTCAAGACGAAATACGGAGGGAATGGTCGAGGGGTATGGTGGTAGAAAGCAACAGTAGCGACAAGGGTGAAGAGAGAAACGAGCCTGGGCGATGGAATGCGGTAGCATGCGGTAGCAAGCCAAGACGACGAGGATTATGAAGTTAAGTCAGTCGAGGATGGGCAACGACAGGAGGAGGGAGGTAGCGAGCAGCAGACACCTCCGATCCGGCTTGGCAGGAGGACCTGGAAGGAGGGAAAAGGGAAGGGAGAGGGAAAGGGAGGCAGCCATAGAGAGGGTGCCAGAGGAGCACCGAAAGCGGCAGGTGTCAGACACAGGAGAAAGAGAGGAGAGCGAAAGCTGAGTAACATTTTGGCTTTTTTTGGCTATGGCTTTGGCTCTACTGTAGCGAAATGGAAAAGGAAATCGAGCGTCGAGTGAGGTGATGACTGAAACAGAAAAACCCAGGCATGCAAAGTGTACGCAATGTTACTGTACACCCAAGAGCAGCAGGAGCAGAAGCAGAGGCAGAATTAGCACCACAGGCAGCCAGATCGGAGTTTCGCTACAGTGGGCCAGTGCACTACACATTGCCGTTTGCTGGAAGGGAGACATGGGCTGAGGGGAGTGAGAGAGAGGCAAAAGCGCGTGGGAATCAGGGCACACACGCGAATTTCAAAAGAAGTTGGGAGGAAATGTCAGCTTTGCCTGTATTGTGACCATCGCGGCAAAGTCTTGCTTTTCTCAAAGCGAAACCTCAGACCAGGAACAAAGCGGTAGAACAGAGGAGAAAAGAGAGGAATGAATGACGACGATCGACGCGCATGGTGATTTTGATGGAAAAACGAACAGCGCGCGCACCACGAATCACCCTTCCCTGTTTCCTTTTTCCTTTTTCCTTTATCCTTCCACCCCAATATTTATTTTATTTATTTTATTTATTTTACATATTTACTATTTATAATTATTTTTAATTCATTATTTATTTATTTTTCCAAAACGAAACACAGTCGGAGATGCAGTGTCAAAGAGCCAGTCTCCGCTTTCGGGAATTACCAGCCAAAATAAAACCAATCAAATACAGTAAATAAGTAAATAAACAAAATTTCAAAACGACCGGATCAAGCAAGTCAAGCGTGGGAGCACTGTAGCGAATAGCCTGTCTCGCTGTGGATGCACGGCTGCCGTTGCATCCCAGCCCCGCTTCACACCGCGACCAGTGGAAATATATTTTATGGACAAAAGGATTCGGTTGATTTGGTCCGGAAACGGCATCCAAGGCTGCACTATCGGAGTGTCGCGCTGGGCTTGGTTTCCAACAATAAGGCGGTTGTTTGCGGCTAATTGCTAGGTAGTTTGGTGAGTCTATTGAAAGTCGATGAAGCATACAGCGGTCACCGGAAGTCGTTTGCAGCACAGCTCTCTCACGATCAAGATCGAACTCACAACACTGCAGTGCATTGGTTGTGGCTCTCTTGGCGTTACCTACATTTTGGCTTTGCGAGCATTGCATCGGCAACGGTGTGGGAAAATAGGTCAGCATTCCTATCGGCGTCATCTTCTTGACAACACACACACACACACACATCTGTGAGGCCGCTTCATTGATTTCCAGAAAATGTGGCGTGAGATTCCATAGCGAAGCGAATGGATAAACGATTACGACCGAACCACACAACGCCATCGGAACGGGTGGCTTTGATTGATACTATTAGCAGCGACAGAGACAACCTGGAAGGCTGCGTTGCTGTCATTTCGGGTTCCCATTGTGTGTTGATCGATCAATTGTGGCCGTTTTTTCTTCTTTCAGGTGTTCGAAAACAGGCGCTTCGTTGTCAAGTTGCGGCCCGCGTTGGAGGTGGCGCTCGGACAGAAGTTGCTAGAAAAGAGGCTGCGCTTGGCTCGTCTCTTCTCTGATCTCACGTGTCGACTCCCGTTTTAGCATGGTGAGTTGGGATGTGAGTGAGCATGTCGTTCTCGATAGACGGCGCTGGCAACGCTCCTCTCTCGATCCTACTCCGTTCTTCTCGTCATCGCCGGCCTGCCCTATATGTGTGTGTGTGAACACCATCATGCTTGTCGTGTGAGATTTCCTGCACAACGAACAGACACCTGCACAAAGGGCCGCCCAGGTGTTCTTGTGGCAGCCATCGTTGTGTCTCAGGAGTCGATTTTGTCTTGTAAACCCCACCCCATCTTGACAGAATTGATCTACGGTATCGACTCTGGACACAGACTTTCGTGAATTTGGTGGAATTTTTTCGGTTTCGTGCTCCGACGTGAGCTCTCTCTATCTTTCTCGTTCGCAAACGGTGGTTTGGTTTGATATGATTTGGTTGCGAGGTCACTGAACCGTCGCATCGGATCTCTCTCAGATCGTGGCCTGATGCCGGGCCTTGACCCTTTTTCGACCCTTGAAATTTACTGTAACGGTAAAAAATTGTTTTTGGGCGTCGTTGCATGGAGACTATGCCTGCTCTCCTACGCCGTCCAATATCGAGTGCCCGTGGGGTTCTCTGATTGCGCACTGATTTGCTTTGCTTGATTTGATGGCCTGACGCTCTCTCTTCTGCCATCTACTTACTGTATCTGGTCAGAGGTCTCGGTGAGAAGGGAAAAAGTTTCTCGCCCTTCCTCTTGTTGTTCCTGTCCCTCTCGGCTATTCGAACCCCAACCTATCGGCCAAGCGCGATAGCTTTGTGCCCTTCTCATCTTGCAAAGGCACCTCGGTCATATCAAACTCGGCTAAGCGGAGCAGGACTGCTTTCTGAAAGCTGACATAATCCCCCTTGTCGGCTTCTCGGCTTCGTCAAAAACAGTTTGTTTCCCTCCAACTCCGACAAGTCCTGTCAATGCTCCAGGCACTACCAGTCCAAGATCAAGTTCGAGACCTGCTGTGGACTCTTCATTCGATCACCGGTCTTACGAAAGTTCTTCTCCTCCTTATCCTCCCTGCTGGCATGCCACTCTGCGTCTCACCAAGGCTACAGCGGCAACACAAGTTCAAATCGTGTGAGCAGGCATACAAGCGAGCAAGTGACATTGCATCTGGCACACAGAAAGGCTCGTCCAGACACCAGCACCAAGCTATGGTCGGTTCTTTGCGCCCGACTCGCTTGGAAGCAGCGATAAGATGCTTTGCAATCCCTCTTTGCACTGATAGTAAGCCCTGGTCATAGGAATGAGCATGAACAACAGGCATTCTCAGAAGCACCGAGAAACCTAGGCGAACTAAGGCGCCACCCATGAGGGCAACAAAAGAACTCCTCTCAGTGTAAGCATTGCATGCGTTAACGCTGGCACGTTGTGTGCTTTGCGGTACGCTAAGCGAGGTGCGATGTCGATTTTCGTGTCCACGCTAGCCAAAACCCAGCTATCCCACCTTGATCTGTTGTGAAGATCGAACTGGACCCTGATAAAATCTTGTCCATCATCATCGCGCCGAACACTTCGCCGCCGCCCTTTCCCTCATTTCGGTTCCAAACCCCCCAGTCAGATATTCGGATCATCGACCTGCAAGAAGCACTCCACGCCGTGTTGCTTGAGCTGCATAAAGGCGCAATCGTGCAATTCCACGCTGTAATGCTTGGGTCACCTCCGACCCTACCGACCATCATCGCGCCGATCATTGCGTCGTCCGGGCCGGATTCCGCAACAACAGGGATACCAAATCGCTCTCCATGAATGTTGCACCATTGTGCATCCTGAATCCGGGCTCTGAATGCCTTCCACATGGACCGTTGAAGCCCCAAACTTTGTTTTTCTCATACCCACGCTTGGACCTCGTTCCAGCTCGATCGCACAAAGGTATAAAAAATATTTTCGGAGACAAGGTTGCTACGGATGTCGAAGAGCCGATAGCAGCGGCTGCGCTACACGGTGTAACAGAGAACGGGCCGCAGTCTCATGGATCTGACGCAAAGTGCAAAGAAAGCGGCGGCTCTTGCATTGTCCACTGGATGGACGAACAATGGCGACGTGTTCGCCATCGCTGGGCTCAAGTGCCGTGAGGTGTCACAGAGATCATCACCGAGAACGCGGCACTTTACGCGTGAAACAAGTCCGCCGTCCGGCTTCCATTCCAGCTCTTGACGTTATGCGAGACACACACACGGGGGGACGATATCCAATGGAAAGGCGGGTGCGGTTCAGCGCTCTTCGAAAAGCACAGTCGATCCTGTCAGATGGCAGAAGCCGCCTCGCAATGAAGTTCGAGGCCGATGGTCAAGACAGCAAGGTGCAGGTCATGGGATGTATCGTCGGTAAGGCAGAGCCCGCCAAGGTGATGAGGGCCGTGGCAGAGGCGGAGGCAATTAGCCGCAATGGCGGACGAGGACCCGTCTCTCGATGGTGGCCAAATGTCAACCCTCCTCTCAGTAAGCTGGAATGCTAGGCTTTTGCTCGCTAGGCCGCAACAGAATGTTTGTACAATGACAGCGAACCAGAAGAGAACAAAGCTAAGAGTCCTGAGAGGAGAGACGAAGCTTCTTACCGCGCCTCGCAAGCTTCATTATTGTTCTTCGTAGATACGATGAGCCAAGTGACACAAATATCCACCAATCACCGCCGTTCGAATCCGTCTGGCCGATCCGATGGTGCAGCTTTCCTGTCCCTTCTAACAATCGCCTCGCCCCGCTTAGCAATCGAAAGGCAGCGAGCGTAGAGTGTTGCGCGGGACCTGCAGCCTCGCGTAGCGATGCAGACAACCAAATCAACGCGTCTCATTGTCCAGAATATATATATCTAGCAGAGGGGCGAACGCGTAAATGAGGATCGGTCATCGCGACTTGACCCTCCGATCCAGCTGACCCAGTCTACTTTTTCGATGTGGAATATCGTTACAGGATCGACAGGGAATAAGAGGAGAAGACGCTCGCCTCCCTAACATTTAGCTACTCGGACCTCTTCTGCGCACCTCGTGACACGCTACAGGACATCCCTTACCTGCGCACCTCCGCCGTCAATGCTCGCTAAGTTGATAGGAACTCGACGCTGCCGACCTTGTTCTGGAAAGCAGGTCATAAAAACGTGTCGACCTTGTAACAGGAGATTCGATGGCCGGCAGCGCTACTGTAACTGAAAAATTAAGCGAATCGCATCTCGGTATCACTGTTACCCTCTTTCTCTCCTCCCGTTCCCTTCTACCCTTCCCAACAAAATTTGATCGTGGCGGACGCCATTGCTCTTCCTCGGCTCGCTCCTCTTTTTGCTCTGTAGTCTGGTAACAGGTTACGATCCCTGTTTTGACGGTGGTGAAGATAATTTGTGGCTGGGACCCCTTGCATATAATGTGTTCACCACCCAACCATCGAAACGGCAAAAACTTGGCGGCGCGGCAAACTGGCGTAAGGTCACATCTGACTCTACCTTCGTTCCTTCCCTTCGCTCTCCTCAACTGCCTTTCGCATTTCCTCCCCTTCTTCCCGTTGAGGCTTGTGGTCGATCCACAGTGTCCGAAGTGAAGTGGAAAACCAACTGTTCGCTTAGATTTTGCGCCACTTTTGGCCTGAGAGCAGCATTACATAAATACAAGCCCGAGTCAACTCGAATCGTCCCAAGACGACTCTGAAGCCCTCAACGCCACGCGCTCAAAGTCCTGTGAGCAGATCTGAGCTCTCTCAATGCAGGCTACAGTCATCGCCGATGGAAAGTGTTGCGGGATGCATGACCTCGCAACCACAACCCTGCGCTTATGCGCGCGACATCACCATGTCTTCCGCAGAAAGGACCTACTGATCCGTTGTGTTGTGCAGAATGATGAAGTGCAGTACGGTGCGGTGCGGTGCTGAGTTGAAGAGGCGAATGGACTTGCCGGGCCGGAGTGCATTATCTAGTGCGAAGAGACAAGGGGCGGAACTCTGTTCCGGTGATACGATGTGATGGTCGCAGCTGTCATACACCTAGGTCGAGCTTACAAAAGACTGATTTCTCTGACCGGCAAGGAGACACCAGAGAAGGGGATCAGCCCCTTTGATGGTGGGAGACAGCGTCAGGATCGAAGCTCACCTGAGCGCATAGAGACATGATGCTTCTCGCACACATTCGCGGGAAACACGCGTCAGGACTGCGTAGGTTTTGATGTGCAATTCCGCTCGCTAGCGTCAAAGTTGAGTGCTGATTTCACATACCAGATTGAAGCGGAGTTGCTGCTGCGAGTGGCTTTTAAGAGCGATCTTTGACCCGTTAACTTAGCCGGATCGGAATGGTCGTCGAGCAAAGAGGAGGGAGAAAGATCACTGTGTTGGTTCTCGAGAAACAGGCTTCACATGAAAAGGTCACAGAAATGCCACTTCTCCGAGAGCATCAGTCATACTCCAGAAATTGACATGGGACAGGTAGAACGGGACCATATCATCATCGTATTCCACTGGAACGCTCAACGCTTCTAAATATGACACCTGTTCACGACTCTTGTTTTGCTCTCCTTGGCGAAAGGTGCCGCGATGGAGACGTGTTGGCTTGGCTTGGCTTGGCTTGGCTTGGCTTGGCTTGGCTTGGCTTGGCTTGGCTTATTTTTGTCTTTGTCTATGTTGTGGAACTTGGATCTTGGTTCGGAGGAGTGGTGGCGCAGAGCTGCACAGCGAAGCTTCGCTTCACACGCTTGCATGCAGTGCATCACCATTGCAACGCTAACGTTATCATGGATACTTATTCTTGCTCGATGGTGGCGCCAATACGCATATGGAATCTTGGTACAACAACTCCGTCGCCCCTTGCATGTTGATCGCATCATCGTCAGCTTCGGCATCGTATTCAAGGCCACAATGGAAGGAAATTTCCACGGGATCGCCTCAGAACGTTAATGAGTTAGACGACATGGCATCAAAGTAGAACTGTTCAATATCTCTTCTCATGGAAACAAGGTTCTAAACACATGGGTCTTGCCAGCTCATCAAGCTGTTGGTGGATATGCTCGAAGCATCGGAAGCATGAACAAGGAGGTGTGTGAGATTCTGCGAGAGTGCGGTGATGCCAAGCCCTGGTCGCTCGTCAGTCCGCGGCGACTTGCAGACTTTCTGTGTGAAAGACGACTCTAACAAAACAAACACAACAGTCGCACGATACAACGATCACGAATTCCATTCACAAAAATCCCCGATCAGATCGTGTTAAATGCACCTTCTTTCGTCCGATACAAGCCTCTTCGTCTAGTCAAATTCATCCGTCGGCCATCGGATCTTTCGCAGCTGGTTGTCGTCCCTCGGATAGTACTGCCCCCTCGACCTTTAAGAGTGTGGCTGTCTTTTTGGTCCAAGACAGCCTCCTGACCTCTTGTGTGTTCGTGAGCCAACAACTTGCGCTGAACATATGTGGCAGCCGACTGCAGCGAGCAGGCAACTTAGAAGCTTGAGCTTATGCTCAGCTGATCGACGAGCAGCAACCTGTCCATAATTAACCGAGTCTCTTTCATTACTAGAGCGAGCTTTCCAGATGCGGCGACATGGCGCTTTGGCCAAGGCAATCCCGGGAAAACAAATTTGTTTTTGAACGAGACCTCCTAGATTTCCAAACGAACCCCCGGATTTTTAGGGCCTTGCAGCGATCCTTATTTTGTGCACTCCCGTGTGACCTTGTAGGGAAATGTGCGACTGCTGGCGGCTTCGAAGAGTGGCCCAAGCCGGAAGGGCCGAAAGGTTTGTTCACCGTCGCGGTTGCAAGTCGCGGTCGCGCTCAGTTCGCGCTCGCTCCGTTTGCTCCACCTTCACCCTCACTTGAACCTCATCTCTTGCGCTCGAACCCGCTCCAAGACACCCTCTCTCTTCCCGATTGATTGGCATCGAACAGCTGACAGCTTCACTTTCATTCTTCCTTACCACATTCTCTTACCCACTCAACCGATCTCGTCCACTCCCATACAACTCAGTCGCAAGCAAGCTTCATCTTTGCTACCAACACATTCTGTTCTCCACTTTCGTTTAACCGCACAGGCTTCTCTCCGCTTTCCGCTACACAATCTACCGATTTTTCGGTTCAACTCAGCCTTTTCAGAAAAGAGACTCGGCCGCTGCCTCGATTTTTCGGATCGCTCGATTCGAGGTCAAAAAGATACGAATTCCAGCCAAAAAGACACGAATTCCAGCCAAAAAAAAAAAAAAAAAAAAAAATCGAGGCATTTCTCGCATTTCTGTCAAACTACGCATTCCGCTTCTCGTTCGGCACTCTTCAGTAGCAGATTCCTCCTCCTTCCGCTAGCTCCTCTACTCGACACGATCCTTCCTCCGATCCACAATGGTCTTCAGCTACGGCTTTGAGTCAGCTACCTACAACCCGATCAACATGTGTCACGCATCTCTTCCCTCTGTCGGTCCTGCTGGCCCCACTGCCATGCCCAACTCAGCCTTCGGTCATAGTAACGCCAGCAAGAAGCGCAAGGCTTTCGATGATGATATCACTGCAGGCGGTGACTCTGACTACATCGTCCGTCCTAAGCTTAGCTTACCTCGCTCTGCCGGTCTCGTCTTCAATGGCGATGCTCAATTTCATCCGCTCCCTGCCGATGTGAACCAGGCTATGCTGGCCCAGCTCGGTCACAACCCATTCACCACTTCCAATGCCTTATCCTCTTTCGTCACACCTTCCTCGTCTTCCGGCTCAGTGGGCTACCATCACGAATACAAATCACCCAACTGCTCTGACTACTTCAGCACCGCTGCTCTCTCCCATTACCCCGATATCGAGCCGTATCCCTCCACCTCTCCCTCTTCGTCGTACGGCATCCTCGGTCCCGCGCCCGGTCGTCACAACTCCTCCAGCGAAGACGGTATGGACGTCGACGGCGGGAGTAATGCCCAAAAGATCCATGGAGCACATTGCAAAAGCATTCCCCAACTTTGTGTCAGATACAACCATGGAAACGCCTCAGAACTCTGGGCCACCTGCCCAGACTGTGGAGCTTTCTCCAAAGTCGAATCCTCCCAACCAGCCAGCAACCTTTGCTATTCTTCGTGATCAACGTTTAAGACGTTTCTATCCGATGTGATCACTTTCCGTACACACTCTTTTCGTCATGATTCATTTCACTTTTGCATCTCGTGTCTCTCTGTCTAACTATCTGTATTCCTAGTTCTGCGCTGCGTCGTAGCTCCGCCTCGACAACTTCACGCACACACTCTCTTCCGATCTTGGTGACGTTAGCAATCTCGTCTCGTCCTCTTAGTTCCTTTAGTCTCGCTTTGAAGCTTCAGTGCCATGCATTTATAACCTTCTATCTTCGTATGTGTATGCGTCTGCTCAGATTCAGCTAAGCTCGACGCCTGCCTTGATGACGATGGCTGATCGTAATGGTCAAGTCACACTATGGATATTCGGCTGTTCCGGTCAGCGACGGAGCTGAAGGTCTCATCGCCGTCCTGCAGCAGAGTCAACCACTTTCCTTTCCGTTCTCTGGCGAATGGGGCTACAGCTCGGATCATGAGTGAGAGATTGGCTCAGCCTTTCCCTCCGCAATGGAACAGGGTGCAGCGACATTTCAAGCAACAACCTTCACTCACCCACTGTTGGTCTGATAATGGTGACTGTACTGCCCAACACCTTGATGAAGCCTCCTCGAAGCTCCCAACGTGAATATCTGTGGGCCCTTGCCCGCAGCGCAACACAAGCTCGCCTCACGAGGTCACAACGCTCATCAATCACAAGCGAAATGTCTTCAGCCCCACAACAGAACGCAAAATTTAATTTCTTCCGCGCAAGCGATATGCATGAGTGTGACATGTTTGTGAAAGCCTGTTGACTTCAAGCGTGACGAGATAGCTTGGGCGAAAATTTTGGAGGAGTGAATCGGAAATCAGATGCAGTAGTGGTGGTAGTATCATCAACGACAAGCAACCTGACATTAAGAGACGGTGACGAGATCATAACCGTATGAGAGAGAAAAGTTTGGTGATGCTCCGAGAAGAAGAGGATAGGCTGAAGAGTTTACTGGCTCTGGCCGTTGTAGCTGTTGCGATGTAGAGGGGGTGAGGTGTTTGTTAGTGGGTGTGGTTCTTCATTAGCGAGAGGTCAGGAAGGGAGACTCAGGACGACATGGATCAAACCAGCACGACAAGGAGACAACGCAAGAAGAACGAGAGCAAGGGAAAGCAGGTCGAATGATCCCAAACGAATCGATTCAATCAACAAGTCGTACTACAAGGACAGTTGAAGAAAGAAGATGGGACAGGTTGACCGGCGGAAAAGTAAGGCAAGAGTGACAAGAAAGGAGAGGAGACTTGAGGAAGCAGCTTAGTAGCCTTGGCCGTTGAAGGCACCGCCGTTCTGCTGAGTGGGCTGCTGGAAGCCCTGCTGCTGGGCACCGTACCTGTTGTTGACAGGGACGACAGGGCCGGGGCGAGAAAGAGGCGGAACGGGAGGACCGGGAAGCAATGACGAGTGCGAGGTTGATGAGGAACGTTGACGAGACATATGGACGGACGGAACGAAGCGACCAACGAGTAGCGACCAATGGGGGAAAAGACAAGGAAAGGAACCGGAAACAGAGACACAGTTGAGAACACGAACGGAACACAGAGAAATGGTTGTAGGAAGGGGGGGGGGAGCGCCACACGTATCACCTGCGGCTCGCACTACATCGAGGATAGCACCGTCGTCAAGTGTTTGCCGAATGCCCGGCTCCATCCGAATTGTGGACAGAGCAGAAGACTCATATACGGAAGCGAGAGCGGACAGATGCAGCGCAATGGCGATCTGAACTGGACGTACGGAGCCTTGCCATCTGAAACGTAGCTGCTTGGATCCATGTATTCGGAAAAGTCAAAGGAAAAGAGAACAGAGAGAGTTTGTACTTACCCGCCGTAGCCTCCCTGCTGGGGGGCGCCATAGCCCTGCTGGGGGGCACCGTAACCCTGCTGCTGGGGCTGGAAACCGGGCTGCTGGTATCCGCCGTAACCGCCCTGCTGGGGCTGGAAACCAGGCTGCTGGTAGCCGCCGGGCTGCTGCTGAAAACCGGGCTGCTGGCCGTAACCGCCGTAGCCACCAGCGGCGCCGTAAGCGTTGGCACCGTACTGGCCGGTGACACCGCCATAGCCACCGCCCATACCGCCAGCGGGTCGGGAGTTGGCCATGTTGACACGGATGCGACGACCGTCGAGCTCCTGCTCGTTAAGGGCAGCGATGGCAGCGTCGGCCTCTCCCTGGGTGGCGAAGGTGACGAAGCCGAAACCACGGGAGCGGCCAGTCTCGCGGTCCTTCATGACAATGTAGTCAGTGAGCTGACCGTAAGCCGAGAAGGCGTGGGCGAGGCTGTCATCAGTGGTGTTCCACGAGAGGTTTCCGACGTAAACTTTGGCGGCCATCTTGAACTGAGAATCTGAGGGTAGACGAGATATAGAGGTATCCGGAGACTATCTGTGGTCGATGCGGAACAGCGAAAGGAAGCAGAGGGGCCGTTTGCGAGAGAGCAGCGGACAGAGCGAGTACGAAGATGATGAGGAAAAATTGTCAATTATCGTCCTCCCGAACCTGACGTGTGTCGTACCTGCCTACGGCAGTGCTTCGAGCATGACTGACTCCGGAGCGAGACCGGTGGTGGTAATGCTCCGAGACCAGCTCGGGGGATCTTGATCGGCTGCGGACACAAGAGAAGAGAATGGCAACACACTTACCGATACAATCGAGCCGATGCTGAAGCCGAGACGAGAAGACGAGACGGACGAGTCTGAGACGATTTGAGACGTAAAGAGAACTAGAGAACCGGGAACGAAGCTCGACGATATTAAGACCGGGAACTGCGGGACAAAAGAAGAGGTGATGGTGTATCGGATGGAAGAGGACGTTGACCGCGAGTGCCCCAAGGTTGGTCGAGCGAAAGCGGACATACACGCACACGCACACACGCACACACGCACACACGCACACACACACACTTACACACACACACACACACACACAGAGCTCACTTGATCCCTGCGGAAGCGTTTCTTTCCTGTTCAAGGGCGCGCGCAGCCTCGCCCTCCTGTATATGCAAAAGATGTTCTTCTCGCAGTGAAAGAAGAATTACAACTCGAACGACGGGAATTTGTATTCAACTGGGTCTTCCCAATTCAAAACCGTTAAAGACAGCAGAGCTTTTCCAAATGCGCTAGTCAGAAGGGAAAGCCCCAGGAGAGTGGAATCAGAGGCACTCTTTTACTATATGAGCTCAGCCTAGAGCGAGAAAAGCACACTCAAAAAAGAGTCGTGTCAGGTGGCCAAAGTCGCTGTAGAGTCAGTTGTGACCCTCAAACTGCCTAGCGGTGTGTGGCTTCCTTGACCTGAACATGCTCTTTGTCTATTCAGCTTCTGACCAGCCAGCAGCTTATTCCTGATGGCATTGTGATGCGTTCCGAGGCATGTAGGAAGGAGGCGGAGCTAGGCATAGGGAGAAACTGGAGCCACGAATGATTCGCACAAAGGCGTGATAAGCACGACCTACCTTCAAAGGGTGAATGATCGATCTCGATCGTTACACGATCGACGTCTCCCGATCACGTTAAAGAGACGGCCGGCCAAATAAATGCCAGCTTGCATTCTTATTGTCAGTTCCGAAATTCAATGCATAAAAGAAAGAAAGAAATTTGAGGGAGAAATGATGGACGGAAAATCTCTCGAAAGTGTGTCCATACCTGAAGGCTCGTAAGTTTGAAGATGTCCACGCTTTCGACGAGTCTCCAACTATCGTCTGTCGAGCTATTCCCAAGAGACATGCCTGGTAGCGATACACTGCTCGTAGGCACAAGGTTTGCTTCTTCAAGCAGGTTGCTGAGATAAGGTCGTGGATGAACACTTGTGGAACAGGATTGCCAGAAGACAGGGTCCAGCTCTCCGTCTCGGCAACCCTATGCCGCTGCTCGATCGATCAAGTCGCCGGAACACAAGTGCTCATTGTTCAGCATCTAGCGTGCGAAGCTTCAATCGAACGCGGATCGAGTCAGCAGTGAAGCTAGATCCGACTTACATGGAATGGAGAAGCGGCTCGATCGACTATCGGTTGTGAGGGTATTCCTCCATCTCCTACACTCGGAGGAAACCAGACCAGTCTTTTGCAACAAGAGACGCTCGAAACGTCGCCAAGCAAGGACTACAGTCAACATACATGTTGCACACTTGTTTGGTAGTAGCTACAGTCTTTTGTCAGATCGCCAAAAGGTTGGCATATACTGAAACAGAGAGTGCTTCGGTGTTTTTCGAGCGACTCTTCTTGCAAGTCATCACCTTCACCTAGATACTGTGCTGCGGTTTTAAGGCCGAGCAGCCCGACAAGACCTCGTTCAGCCGCAACACAGACATCGGAGCCAATCCGGTAACACGTGAGCTTTGCTTGGTAGACAAATGGAGCGCGAGAGCGGAGATCAAAGGTGTTGATGAACAAGCGAGAGCAAGGGTCAACCACGCAGCGCCAAGCAATCAGCATCGGGGAGCACGCGCGTCCACGCCACAAATGGTCCGACCTGTGTGCAGTCCAAGCATCACTTGAACTAATCAGGGCTTGTTCGCGGTTGCCAGCCAAAGTCTCTGAGTGAGTGCATTGCATCGAGCAGATCTCGCAAGAACAAAGGCACGAGAGACATGCCTGCCAGTACCTTGAGATGAGGAGCTCGAGTCAATGGGGCAAGCCTTCAGACGCGCCATTTGGTTCCTGCTTGGAAGGGATTGATTGGTAACGTCGCAACTAGCAGCGTCAGGGCAGAATGTCTGCCAAGCCTTCTGGAGCCGCCGAGATCTGCAAGTCACCGAACTGTGCGGCATTGTGCCGGCGCGTCGCCGTGTCTCGCTTTGGTCACTGTTCCCACCTTTCATCGTGGACAAGCTCATCGACAGAGTGACAGGAAGATGCACGAGATTGCCTTCATCTCAAATGTGGTACCGCTGTCATGTGCTGTCGGGTGTATTCTCTCCTATATCGTCAAGGATGCTGTATGCGTAGAGTCCGCTCTCTGAAGAAGGGAGAACGAAGATGGATAGACTGACTTACTTCGAAAGAGCCAAGAAAAGCGTCAACATTCCATCGGCTACATCGACACGGATACCGCATCGAAGACGAGTAGTGATGATTTGCAAGAACGGCATGAAGCGTCCATGCGTGCGTCTGATTTCCGTAGACAGCAAGACGCGTGACACTATAGAACCTCGGCTCCGACATCCCCTTAGAGACGTCACTGTCCGCAGCGAGAGCAATCTGCAGACATGGACTGGACTGCCGAGCGGCACAAGATGTGTCGGACCGGCAAAGCATTTGATCATGTGTTAAGCTGGCCGATGCGCAGTTCGCAATCATTTGGGAGCAAAAACAGCCAGAGCGAGCTGCATCGTCGTCACCGAAGGCAGGGCTTCAAGAGCAAGAGCAAAAAAAAAAAAAAAAAAAAAAAAAAAAGAAAAAAAGAAAAAAAGAAAAAAAGAAGAAAAGAAGAAAAAAGAAAAAAGAAAAAAGAATAAAAAGAATAAAAAAGGATCAATCCCAAGATCGCTGAAAGGAGGAAGCGTGCAGGTCAAAGAGTGTGAAGACCCTTTGTGGTGGCGCTCGGAGTTGCGTCGACGCGGTAAAGCGCCGTCAAAATGCCAGCTTGTCGTTAGCAGCTTGTTGTTAGCGAAACGTAACAACAAATGCACCAGGCAGATCTCTCGGCAATGATCCAAGGTCGAAGACAACATCGTGTACCGGTTCCGCCGCCAGCAGCAGCAGCAAAGGCAAGCTTCCATTAGAAACGAGATGGTGTTGGCAGCAGCCATTCACATTCGTCTGTCATGCGTCAAGGATGTGTTTGCAGCGGTCACAACAGCAGGCTTCCTGTTGAGCTTGCCAGCAAATACAGAATCATCACAGCTGGCTGCAGCTGAGAATGAAGTTTCGAATCGCGCCTTGATTTGTAGATTTCAGAAGAGCGCTCGTTTCGAAATCTCTACGTGCCAAGATTGATGGGAACCCTTTCGAGGTTTCGAAATTGTAGCCAACAATACAGCAAAAAGGAAGAATCAGAACAAGAAGAATTTCCAACGATTCCCTCCATGGTGCTTTATGATTCTTGCTGTCACTGCTCACCTTAGATTCTCACCGTCAAGAAATGTTTTAAAAAAAAGCAACCAAAAATAAAATAAAACAGGGGAAAGGGGGTTTGGAATGAAGCAGCCTCAGGCACAAAGCCTGATCTGTGGCCCCCTCAAGGTTTGGCTGTCAGAAAATCGGAGAGGCTGCTGCATAGCTGAGACCAACGCAAGCCCGATTTGCTTGTTTTTGTGGTGCAATTTTGTGCCTGTCTGCCTACTGTATCTCTGCAGGGATGTGCGTGGGGCTCTCTCTTTCTCGACTTGCTCCTTTCGCGCCCTGACTGTCTGACATTCAAACGGCACAACAGCACGGCACTGCACTGCACAGCACAGCACCACCACCAAGACCAAGCAAGCAATTGCCCCCACACCGGCACACACCCACTCGTTGCACAATTACTGTCTTTGACTACGACCGCGACTCATCTTTTTAGCCAAGGACTGCAGTAAATAGGACCACGCCGACACCACATCACACCACACACCACCTCAGTTTCATCACGCCGCCGCCGCCGCCTCCGTTTTCCTCACTTTCCTCCTTTGGCTTGCATTCTTTGACTGCTGCCGGCCGTCTCTCTCCGTACCTCCTTTGCTCGATCTTTGTGTCTCAACTACACATCACCCCCTTATCTCCTTCTTCCACTCCTCTCTCCTCCTCCTCCTCCTCCTCCTCCTCCTTCTTCCATCATCCTCGCCACATTTCGACTACCCCGAGATTGCTTGGGCACCATCAACCTTATCTCACTCGTCGCTTGGGCTGAAGGCATCAGCAGCATAGTTGATACATTATCCGCTTGCATACCCTCTCACCGGAAAGAACCACAGGCACACCATGACGCAGCCCGCCTCTTCCTTATCGAGGCGGCGTTCGGTCGCCAAGAAGGCAATCGCCTTGGCCACCGCCGCTCTCGCCCTTTCATCTCGTGCATCGGCAGCCAAGAAGGCCGGTACCTACGAGATCGTCAACAGAGACTCGCTCGCTTCCGCCATGATGCTTGGTGTCATGGATGAGGAGAACGTCTTCATTCTCGACAAGGCTGAGAACAACTCCCAAAGATTGGCGGATGGTCGTCCAGTTTGGGGTTCCTTCTACAACCTCGCCGACAACTCCGTCACTGGTGTTTCCGTCACTACCAACACCTTCTGCGCTTCCGGTGCAACTCTTGGTAATGGCACTTGGGTCGTTGCTGGTGGTAATCAGGCCGTCGGTTACGGTGGTGCTGCTGTGCCCCAGAACCTCAGCCCTTACCAAGATTATGACGGCACTCGTGCCATTCGTCTTCTCGAGCCTGGGTCCAAGACATGGATCGACTCGCCATCCACTTCGACAACTCAGGTCAACATGATGCAGTCCGCCCGTTGGTACCCTGGTATCGAGGTTCTTGAAGACGGTAGTGTCCTTTTTGTCGGGGGTGCCGTAGGTGGCGGTTACATCAACCGAAACACCCCCAACGTCGACCCCTACTACCAAGGCGGGGGTTCCAACCCCACCTACGAGTACTTCCCCTCCAAGGGCGCACAGAGGGTCTGCGACTTCATGGGCAAGACTTCCGGTCTTAACATGTACCCGCACACCTACCTCATGCCCTCAGGCAAGATCTTCATGCAGGCCAACTACAGCACTGTCATGTGGGATCACGTCAACAACAACGAAACCGCTCTTCCTGATATGCCCGGCCAAGTCATTCGAGTCTATCCGGCTTCCGGTGCCGTCGCCATGCTCCCGCTCACTCCCGAGAACAAGTACACTCCTACCATTCTCTTCTGCGGTGGCAGTGTATTGAGCGACCAGCTCTGGGGAAACTACGCCGGTCCTGGTGGCAACATTCTTGGCATCACCGCTTCTACCGACTGCTCATCCATCTCTCCCGAAGACAACCAAGGTAATGCCAACCCTAACGTCCAGTACGTCAAGGAGGGCGACCTTCCCGAGGGTCGTTCGATGGGCCAATTCATCCACCTTCCGGACGGAACTATGGTCATCGTCAACGGTGCCAATAAGGGTACTTCTGGTTACACCAACGCCACCTACAACACCATTCAGTACAACGGCAGAACCATCGTTACCGAGGGACTCTCTCAGGACCCCACCTACGTTCCCGTCATCTATGATCCATCTAAGCCACAGGGTCAGCGCATCACCAATGCCGGTCTCTCGGCCTCCACCATCGCTCGTCTCTATCACTCGAGTGCCGTTCTTCTCCCCGATGGCTCCGTTATGGTTGCTGGTTCCAACCCACACCAGGACGTCACCCTCGACATGCCCACTGGTACCACGCCCCAGGCGTTCAACACCACCTACGAGGTTGAAAAGTGGTACCCTCCCTACTGGGACTCGCCTCGTCCTCAACCGCAGGGCATGCCCACCTCGATCCCTTACGGCGGTCAGCCCTTCAACATCACCGTTGACGGCAACTTCATGGGCGACTCGGCCAACGCAAAGGCTGCCAACACCAAGTTTGCCATCATCCGTCCTGGTTTCTCCACCCACGCCATGAACATGGGTCAGCGTGCCGTCTACCTCGACTACACTTACACTGTCAACGAAGATGCTTCGGTCACTTACATGCTCAACCCTCTTCCAAACACCATCTACATGAACCGTCTCATCGTGCCCGGTCCCGCCCTCTTCTTCGTCACTGTTGGTGGTGTGCCCAGTATGGGCAAGATGATCATGGTCGGCACTGGCGCTACTGGAACTGGGAACGTTCCTTTCACTGCCAACCTCGGATCTGCTCTTGTTACGCTTCCTGCTGCTCTTAACAGCACCAAGTACACTGCTGCTCTTTCCAGACCTGGAGACTCAAGCTCCAGCTTTGGCCTCGGCAAAATCATTGGAATTGCCGTCGCCGGTGCCGCTGTTCTGGCTCTCATCGCTCTCGGGATCTGCCTCTGGAGGCGCAAGGGTAGGAACTCGCGCAACGAGAAGCCCTCTTCGCGACAGTCGGCCGCTGCTTGGACCAGCCGCGACCTTGGCTCTGGTCCCGAGTACAAGCGCGTCGACACCCCTGTTGGTTCGGTTAACGGCCGATTCGGTGGCGGTAGGATGGACAGCTCGCACACCTTCGAGTCATACCGCATGAACGACCAGGGCAGCGTCAGCGAAGGCAAGGAGGCTCTTGGAGGTTACTACGATGCACCACGAAGTGGCAGCCGCGCTGGTTTCGCCCCTAGCCCACTTGCTTACGAGGGTCAGCACGCTCGCGGCGGCTCTCATGGCACTCAAGGCACTCAATACCAGCAAGGCTGGGGCGAGTACCACGCTGGTGACGCTGGCGCATACTACGAAGACAACACCAGCAGGTACGCCGGCGGACAGAGCTATGATGACTACCCACCGCAGAACTACCCGCAGCAAAGCTACCAGCAGCAGTACCACCAGCAGCAGCGCCAACACTACGACAGCCCACGTCAACACCAGCAAGGATCGGGTAGCTACTCTAGCCGCCGCTGACCGAGTGATTCGTGGGTCGTGAGGAGACTGTCAGAATGGTTTCTTTTGGCCTCGGCAGCGAATTCTATCTACAAAAGTTGAGCTGAGGCGTTGCTCTGGCTCGACATCATTAGTCCGCCCTCAACCATTTTGTATGGAAACCGTTCTATCTCTCTCTTTCTCGTCTCTCTCCTCTCCCAAACATCTATCTTTGTACCTATCCACACTCGCTAGTTCTACAGAGCCCATCACTCCACTCACTCTTGTTCCTTCAGTATTCTCGCTCGCTTTGCCTGGACAATATATTTCTTTTGCTTTAGATTTGGTGACTTGTCTGCTCGACTCAGTGTTTTGTGACTGCCATCGATCCCTGTTATGTTGGTGTAAATCGCTGAATCGCGGAGACAGGCGAATAAAATAGGGCGACGCTCATTGCTTGATCCTGCAATTAACAAAGCCGGTTTCAAACCACAAAGCCAGCTGTGAGAACGCGTGCTGTAAGCTGCTGAAAGGGACTGTCAAATGAAAGGAATGCAGGCCACAACATTAAGCTTTGTCCCATGTGGGCTTGGTTCTGCTTCTCGCTCAACTTCCACGGAGCGAACAAAGGGAGAAGCATCGCTTTGTCTTCTTCCTCTCCACAGGCTTCCTTTGTTCGAGCTGTCAAGCGATCGAAAGGGAAGCGATCCAACCGAAGCTGCATGACCGTGCATCGACGTGTCGAAACAAAGGGAGCAACTCTAACCGTCATCTCGTTTGTCTTTTGACAGCAATCAATCCTTTGACTCTACACTCTGTGTCATTCATGTGCGTGCATGACTGGCAATCTATAAGAAAGGAAAGTATCGATATGTTGAAAATAGATTGTTCGGTTGCTGCCAAGGTGAAAGGGACCATTGACGGAGACGATGAGTAGCGACGTCATCACCTTCTGCAACTACTGGGGATGATGGTATATATGCAAGATCGCTTTCCTCGCCTTGAGCTGCAGAGACGTCTACTTGCATCTCCACAACTTTCAATCCTCTTTCCGCCTACTTCGCCTCACTTTCTTCGAACACACTAAACCTCGATCACCATGGCCGCAACTACCACTCTCACCTGTACCAAGCTCGTCTCGCATCGTAGCAGAGGCACTGCTGTTTCACTTGCTCTCGCCACGCTTTCCTCCCTAACCCCGTCCGATTACTCGCACAGCCGTTCGCCACTCTATTCCTTCGATCGGGTTAGTGTTGGTGACAAAGAGAACTTTTCTCCTTTCGAAACCACAACCTCTTTGCAGTTGAAGAGAGAACCGCTATCAGATATCACAAACTCTTTCCTTTCCCCTTTTCTGTCCACCTCCCCTAGTCCTACGTCTACATCAAGTTTGTTGCCAGCAACAGCAACTAACACCAATCACCCTACTATCAGGAGTACAGGCGCTAGACCAAGGTCAAGTCTGCACCGAATCGTAGTTGGCTCACTACATCGCAAAAAAGCAATTTGTCGTAGAAGAAATGCTATCTCCCTTTCTTCTCATCAAGCTTCTTTGCTTGCGATGCAACTTTCAACCCCATCAAGCGTCGCTACATCTCCGTCACCAGTCGATGTGAAGAAAAGCCAGAACACTGAAGAGGCAATTAAGACGAACGTTCGATTTAGAACAATCGCCCTAGAAAGAAACGTCTTCCTTATTAGTCGAACTGATGGACATTCATTCAGCTGCAATGCTTGCAATTGTAGCTGTAGCACTGCTCAGACTGTAGTATCTGCGCCGTCTCTCGCGGCTTAACTGGTTCCAAGACTCTGTATTGTCTCGCTTTGTACGATTACATCTCACTTATGTAGGATTCCTCTGGTAGGACCCTGACTTTATCAACAATATCACTCTTTATCTCACACTTCTGCAGGCTGCGTATTGGAGCAACACTCCATCCTAAGTCCTTCGTGATAATCAGGAGACAAGTTTGACTGCCGACTCAATGCTTCACACGAATACACAATCAAGACATCGGAGCCAAACTTTTGACGAAGTGCATTTGTATTTTTCGAAAAGCGAGATGCATGACCATGTACATGTAGGACACGGGGAAAAAGTATGATCTTTTTGGGTGTGTGGTGGAGTCAAGCAAGCAATTGCTCGACCAAGAAAAGGGGGTAGTGTTACATGCAATGGACCGAGACGACTTCCAGAGATCAGGTATGGTGGGACCGCACGACAAGCAGAGTAAACGCCATCTCGCTTTTCGGATGTCAAAATGACTGTGTGTGTGTGCGCGCTTCCCCTCGGCTGAAGAACAGCCAAATCATGAAAACGTCCTGCAAGCCAATGTGGTCCAGTTCTGATCACGGTAACGTGTCGGTGCCTATGCGCGGGTCGCTATGGGTGCGACATGTGGTGGTTGATGGATGAAGGATGCTGAGAAGAGAGACGAAAAAGAACGATGCTGGTTGAAAGAAAAAGAAACGAGGCTAGATGATTGATTTGTAGAGGAAACAAGTTTACTCGTCGTCGATCTCAATCTCGCCAGCGTCGATGCCCTCAATGATGGCGTGGGGGTTCTGGCCGTTGACGGTGCAGCCGACGGACTGAGCAGTGCCGAGGATCTCCTTGACGGTACCGGCGAGATTCTTGGCGAAGGACTTGAAGCGCATCTTGCGGGCGATCTCGACAATCTCGTCGAGGGGGATGTTACCACCGTGCTTGATGTTCTTCTCCTTCTTGCGGTCACGGGGGGGCTCCTTAAGCGCCTTGATGACGAGCGAAGAAGCCGAGGGGACGACCGCGACGGCAGCCTGACGGTTCTGAACGGTAAGCTGAACAGTGACACGGAGACCCTTCCAGTCACCAGTGGCCTTGGCAATGTCTTCACCGACCTTCTTGGGGGAAAGACCAAGAGGACCGATCTTGGGGGCAAGAGCCGAGGAGGCACCGACCTCACCACCGGTGGCTCGGAGGTAGATGATCTGATTGAAAGTGTTAGCAAGTGCGAAGGAAGATGGGGGAATTGTCAGTTTGCGATTCTAGTTGATGCGATATGAATGCTGAAACGTGCCGGCTCTGCTTGGATTATCGACGTTTCGAAGCTGCACAGGGTTGTACTCTGTCGTGTGTATAGCGGTGTTGGTTGCCCTCTGTGTCTCTCTGTTGTTGTGCTGTCGAAAACAGGCTGACACGAAGCAGACTCTGTCGGGCCCCCGAAGCCGACCTGTGCTGCCGAACAAGTCAATGCGAAACGGGCTCATATGCTTGTTGCTTCTGACGAACAGATCAAGACACCAGCCGCCGCTTGGCTTCGCTACATGTTCGTTTCCATTCCTACGCTTGTATCCTCCTGTCCGTGCCGCTTCGCCAATGTCGATTTGACATCGACCAGACACCTGCGATTCTTCCGGGCTAAAGGTTTGATGCGCCAGATCATCTAGAATATCATCGTGTCGGTTTGTCTGCTGCGCTTCCTTCTCCTTCTAGTCTTCCACCTCTCTTCACTTTGTGGTACTGATGCGATATGTTGGAAGAACGAGCTGAGCGAAACGGCCATGTTGTCATCTCTGCTACTGCCGGGCTGCAGGGGGGGCTATGTCCCCAACTGCTTCTAACATGCTGAAACGACAGGCGAGGGTGCGATGGTCGAAATGTCGGAAGTGGCGGATGTCTGTGCAGCTAGTCGAACGTCGTAGTCAAAGAGCGATGGCATGTATTGTAAGAGATAATCACCTTGATCTCGTTGGGGTCGATCTTGGGCGCCATTGTGAATAGGTATAGATGTGATGGTGATCTTGACGGTGAGGAAGGGACGAACAGGCCAAGGTTGAATCACGCTGCCGCCGCCGCACAGGCTCAGCCAAGCGTAAAGATCTCCAGCCAAAGTCTGACACTCAAACTTGACGGATTCTCTGGGCCTCTTCCAGGGCACTTTCCAGGTCTTCGTTGCCTTGCCCTGAAGGACTTACCAAGTCGAGTCCATTACCAGGCTTGCAAGTCGGCTAAAGGCCTCAACAGGCGCTGTCACCACAAATTTTGGCCAAAGAAGCTCCAGGCCAACATGAGGGTGAATCCGAGCTTGGTATATAAAAATAGTCGGCCGAAGACAGTCTTACAAAATTTTGAAATCAAGCCGCACGTGCTTCAATTAAAAATGGTTCCTCGCTGGATTCATCGAAGAAACACCGCACCAAAAATCGAGACTCGATGCTCAAGAAGAAGTGTGTGGCCTGGGCAGCATTTAGAGAAAAGGCACCCACAGACTTGGCTATATGCGCAGCTCAAAGAAGAATAGAGGCAGCAGCATGCGATGTGATGGAAGGTGGCCTCAGTGTAGTCTGAGTGGGATCCAAGCAGTGTAACTTCCCGCAGCTTTGGACAGCCTGCAGCTTAGGTCAAGTCAAGTCGAGTCGAGTCGAACCTGTGAAGCCAGCGAAGCCAGTCTACGCCAGATCCAGAGAGCCCGAGTTCTACAGTAGCGGGCGTGGAGACAAACCAGGAAACTCGTCATCATCGTCGTTACGCCCCCATCACCACCTCATACACATATCTATCAGAATGTAAGTTTTCTACATAGCTGCAATAGCTTTGTCACCATCGTAACACAAGGGGCATGCTGCAGTGGAAGGACGATCCAAGTCTAGGCGGAAATTGTTACCAACTAACAGAGTTGTAGGGTTCATGCTGAACAAAGGACGGATCGACATGTAGCATCAAAGGATCTACAGGCACGGCGGACAGCAGGTAGCATATCGATGATGATATCCACTCGGCGATACTCGAATGACGGCTGGCAGAAAGAAGCGGACTCGATGTTCCACGATGTGGGTGATAGAGTTCCGAGGTGCTACTGTGCTGATCGGCTGGCAGCAGACGTCAGGCAGGCAACGTTGCAATCTATCGCGGTGTGATTCCGGCTTGATCCTGAAATCACCAAGGTCGTTGCTATTACCATCTGCAGATGGAAGGTGGCAGTGTATGGCTTGCAGGAGTATTGATAGGACTCTTGTTTGGAGTGCTGGCAGAGACACACACGAACCTTGTATGAACTTGATCCATCTGAAAGCACGCCGCTTCAGCCGACGACATACGTTCAGCAGAACAATCCTAGACATGCAGAGCAGCCATTCCTGACATTCGCTTTGCATCTTCCCATTCTCTAGGTCTGAGTCTCTCGTCTACAAGGGCTCCCTCGCCGGCCACAAGGGCTGGATCACCGCCATCGCCACCGCCCAGGAGAACCCCGACCTTCTCCTTACCGCTTCGCGTGACCGCACCATCATCGTCTGGCAGCTCAGCCGTGATGACTCCAACTACGGCTACCCCAAGCGAATCCTCCACGGCCACAACCACTTCGTCTCCGACATTGTCATCTCCTCCGACTGTCAATTTGCTCTCTCCGCCTCGTGGGACAAGACCCTCCGTCTTTGGGACTTGAACACCGGTACCACCACCCGCCGCTTCGTCGGCCACACCGCCGATGTTCTCTCCGTCTCCTTCTCCGCCGACAACCGTCAGATCGTCTCCGGTTCGCGTGACCGCACCATCAAGCTCTGGAACACTCTCGGCGAGTGCAAGTTCAACATCACCGACGACGGTCACTCCGAGTGGGTCAGCTGTGTTCGCTTCAGCCCCAACCCCCAAAACCCCGTCATTGTCTCCGCTGGTTGGGACAAGGTCGTCAAGGTAAGTTCAACGCATCAACACAACCACAATCAGAAGATCAGAGGAAGCAGAATTCGGAGACCAGGAACAAGGAAAGCAGCAACAAGATGTCTGCTCGTTTGGATGGAAGGATTGCAGCGGCCACGCGGTGGTTTGCGATGAAGAGTGCTTTTTCAAATATTTGCTACTATAGAGAGCATAGCTCGATGAGAATATCTCAAAGTCACCAAGATCACTGAGCATTCAACCCTTTTCGCAAGGGTCTGCGCCGCGTTGGGTCCATGAAAGGACGGAAGGACGGAAGTCAGGAGGAAGCATATTCAGTGTTGGTTAGGAAGTTGAAGCAGGGAGGTCACTCCTGTCCACTCTGATCTGCTCGATTGGTACATCGCACCATCAACCCGCAACTGCTAACCCTCTCTCTTCCCGTCCTTCTTTCCGTTGCATTCATCACAGGTATGGGATCTCAGCAATTGCACGTTGAAGACCAACCACTACGGCCACACTGGCTACATCAACACCGTTACCGTCTCCCCCGATGGTTCGCTCTGCGCCTCCGGTGGCAAGGACGGTGTCACCATGCTCTGGGAGCTATCTGACGGCAAGCACCTCTACTCGCTCGAGGCTGGTGACACTGTCAACGCTCTCGTCTTCTCCCCCAACCGATACTGGCTCTGCGCTGCCACTGCCTCTTGCATCAAGATCTTCGACCTTGAGTCCAAGAGCATCGTTGACGAGCTCAAGCCCGAGTTCTCCGGAGTTGGCAAGAACTCTGCCGACCCCGAGTGCCTCTCGCTCGCCTGGTCCGCCGACGGTCAGACCCTCTTCGCCGGTTACGCCGACAACATCGTCCGTGTCTTCACCGTTCTCTAAACGGTGTCGCTCCACTCAGTGTTTCCGGACGACTTTCCCATTCCCTTCCTATATCGATGCAGCGTCATCGTTCCCATCAGTTCCGCCCCATGCATGCTCCTCGCACATTAATGCCGTGTAAAAATTGATAGCCTTGGCTTCGGAGGCGATGTTGTCCTCCCGATCCAATGGCTGACTGGTCTTCTCCTAGTCGTGCGGAGATCAGTCGGCGCTCACTCACGCCACTCCCTAAACAACATCACACACACATAAAACAAAAGGGTTGCTCCCTCTTAGTTCCTCTTTCACTTTTCATAGGCGGTTATTACACTGTCCTTTGTGTGCGTTGCGTTTTGCGATTGCCGTGACATTTGAAAGAAACTGAGATCTTGATCAGTCATGGTGATGATGGATGTGTTAAGCATCTGTATCTATTACGTTGCATACTGAGTTGTAAATTCGGCAAATTCAACGAGCGGCGGCCTCTTACACGCTCATCTTCATGTCGATCTTCGAGTGACACTTGTATCCAACGACCTCAAAGTCCTCGTACTTGAAGTCATCGATATCGGTGATATCGCGCTTTATGTTGAGCTTGGGGAAGGGCAATGGTTCACGCTCGAGCTGGATCTTGAGTGGCTCTACGTGATCTTTGTAGACGTGAGCGTCTCCCATCGAAAGCACGAGTTCCTTGGGCTCGCAATCGGTGACTTTAGCGATCATATAAGTGAGCAAAGCGTAGCTGGCAATGTTGAAGGGGACTCCCAACCCGAGATCGCAGGAACGTTGGTACATTTGACAAGAGAGCTGCTTCTTGCCCCGACCCTTTGCGTAAGCGTCGAGGTTGGAGACGAAGAACTGGCAGAACATGTGGCAAGGAGGGAGAGCCATGAGAGCAAGATCTTTGGGGTTCCATGCACTGAGCAAGATCCTGCGATCGGTGGGGTTGTTCTTGATCTTGTCAATGACTTCACGCAATTGGTCAACGCCTTGACCGGTGTAGTCGGTGTCGCAGTCCTTGTATTCTGCGCCAAAGTGTCGCCATTGGAAGCCGTAGACTGGACCCAAATCACCTTCTCGCCGGTGTTGCAAGTCACGCGAGTCGAGGAACTCTCGTGATCCGTTACCGTCCCAGATGTGCACGCCCTTGTCAGTAAGAAGCTTGGAGTCGGTCTTGCCAGCCACAAACCAGAGGAGCTCCTCCAGTACGCCTCGCAAGAAGACACGCTTTGTGGTGAGCAGAGGCAGATCGCCGTTGGTAAGGTCGAAACGGAGGCAAGGCTGAGGTGCAAAGAGAGCGAGAGTGCCAGTACCTGTGCGATCGGGTCTCGACTCGCCTGTCGAAATGACACGAGACACGAGCTCGAGGTATTGCGACTCCTCGTGCTTTGCCGAGCCCACCGCATCACCCTTAGGCCCTGTCTTCGAAGAGAAGATGCCAGCAACAGTAGGCTCAGCAAAGTTGTGATGAGCATAGCCGAGCACAACCATTCCTCCAGCATCCATTTCGAACAGGCGACCATTGGTCAGCGGCAAGCCCAGCCATCGAGCAACAAAGACCCTATTGAAGTGACCGTGGCAGACCAACAGGACATCGCACGTCTTAGCTCCCACATCATGCCCTTGCTTGCGCTTGTCAACGTGGCACGACTGAAGATCGCGAATCTTGGCAATGACCGAATCGACTCGGTCACTCATGTGCTGTGCCGACTCTCCTGGAAGCTCGTCCGGTCGTTCAGGGTGATCTGGGGTACCTCCGGTCCAAATGTCCCAGCCAGGGTGCTTGGCTCGAATCTCCTCCGTCTTGAGTCCCTCGTAGGCACCATAGTCCCACTCGCGGCACTCTTGCAGCACCTCCACTGGCGGAATACCCTGTCGTTGGTTGGCGGGAATGTGTTCGAGCATGATCTCGAGTGTGTGCTGGGATCGCTTCCTTGGGCTGACAAAGATGTGGTTGAGCTTGGTAGGGTCAATGAGCTTGCCATTGCCGACACCGACGATGCTAGGTGCCAATTGACGCATCACTTCCTCGCCATGAGGTGTGAGGGAGATATCGGATCGTCCAGTATGTTGGCCAGAGATGGACCATTCGGTCTCGCCGTGGCGGGCGAGGAAGACTCTCGGCATGGCCATGTTGGGCAGCTTCTCTTTTCAGATGATGATGTGGGTAGAAGAGATGCGGTAGATGCTGACGGAGAAGAGATTGCTAAGAACACCTTCGAACAAGCTGACCGGACCGTAAAGCGGTAGGCATAGTCACAGCTCTGCAAAGTCCGAATGTCGCAAAAAGCACACACAGACCAGGTACACAAGCACAATTCCGCAAAATTCAAAGAAAGCACAGTTCAGCTGCTCAAGGCTCTTCTTCAATAAACGCGACGCGTGCGGTAAAGTGTTGGTTCGGACTTTCCAGAGACAACTCACACTTCGGCAACAGCTTCAGTGAAATCACATGACCTCCTTTTATCGCTCTAACATGTCCGCCAACCTCGCTCACCGCCGTCACTCATCATCACCCAACATCACCCACCAACGCTACTTATCATCCACATCAACACCCCTTCGTCCCTATTGCGACAGCACGCAGTCATACGTGTCGCTTCATTCACATGCACACACACTAACCATCAGCAGAGACATATATACCTGGCATTGCTTTGTACTTAGTCGTCTCCTAATAGTAATAATTGCTATCCGCTTTACCGCTCCTCGCTTGTGTATTCCTCAAGAGCTTCGGCCTTAATTGTCGTTAGGTGCGACTGAAGTCATGAGAATCAGTAAAAGCATGTGACCCCTAATCCGATTTCACATTGACGCCAACTTCACTCACTTGGTTCTGCATCAAGTTACCCGGAACGACTATCGAGACAGGGGCATACCTGTTAACTAATACCCGACACAGTTACCCCGTCATGTTTCAGCATCATCCACTGGGCAACACATCCCTGTATCACACTGGAATATATACATACATTGGCTATTATCATGTACTTAGATATGCTCTCCATCGCAATCGATACTTGTGATCAACGCTATTTGACGCGCATACTTCAACAGAATCCTCTGTTCACTCGGATGGATACAAATTCATTGCTCAGCTGCACTGATGTACCGTTACTCGTGTGATTCGTTTTGCATTGGATTGCATTGGATTGTATTGGATACCATGTCATCACTGCGATGTTACTGTCTAAGCTGTCTTCAGCGACAACGTGCTTTTGATTGTTGATCGGCTTTCTTCGCCTCCCGTCTACGACGAGAACCACGAAGAAGAATCCTCCTTACCCGAAGTCATATCAGAGCTGATGATCCTGTGAACATGGCAGAGGTAATCGACGTAGCTCATGGCATCATTGTTCTGATCCTCCACCAAGCTGTTGGCGAGCTCGACCTCGGTGCCATCGCGGTTCTGACGAGCGATGAGAACCGGAAGCTCGGGCTTGTTCCTCTGCTGTGCGAATGACTGGATGATGGCACGAACTTGCTTCGAGAGCTTGGTTGGTAACTTGGGCAGACGAGTCATGCGAGCATCAATCTCCTCCAGGGTGCTGACGCCGTACAGATCCTCAAGCAGGCGAGGGTTGACGTTGGCACCGAGCCACAGGATGCACATCTCGCCATTCTCGAGCAGGTAGGCACCATGCCCTTCCATGCGCAAGTACGATGGTCGCATTAATGCGGGCGTCTTGATTCGTGTGCCATCGACAGTGGTGCCGTCGGGTTGCTCGATTTTGATCGGTGAACCGTCGGCATCCGACATGGTGTGGAGAGCGATCATGCGTGGGTACAGCATCGACATGACGGCCGAGACACCTTGTGCGCGGAAGAAGCGCATGTAGAACGCACGCACATCCGAAGTGACATTGCCGCCCTTGATGCTCTTGGTCTTGTTGATCGCCAAGGCATACAGAGGGAACAGCTTGAAGCTCTCTGGCAAGATGAGCTGACCAGGGCTGGTCGATGACGCACAGTTTCGACGGTAAGCAAGGAGGATCTTGACGCACTTGTCCGTGAGATAGTGGCGCACCTCCTTGAGTGGCTTGGCATGCGCCAGAGACACAACCTCCTTGCTGTAGTATGCAACGGTGCTGTCCATGTCAGCGTAGCGGAAGACATTGCCGAGCAGTGATGTAACGGGTACTGCGATGTTGTGGCATCGCACACGACGCTCGCCCTCGGCCGTAGTATACAATACGGCACACTGGAAGTGAGCCTCGTGCTTCTCGTCCAACTTGCCTTCGTGCTTGACCAAAGCTGCGATACACTTGTCTGCATCCATGGTGCCCACCTCGATATCGGTAGCATTACGCTGGAAGAAGTTGCCAAAGTGGTCGGCGACACGCAGACCGTTGGAGCATCGCAGTCGCATCGTGACGTTGTATGCCGTCTCTCGCAGCACGGTGCGTCGTACTTCGCTCTGCAGCTTGACACCATCGCGCACGGGATCGAAGCGAGGGTGGAAGAACACCTCACCGCCCGTGAAGCCGGACAAGACACCGATGGTCGCAACATCAATGTACTGCGAAGGGAAGAAGAAGATGTTGATACCGATACCTGCGTCTACACACTCCTCAGCTGCACCGCGGTAGAAGCCATCTTGGGGAACAAAAAGGTTGCGTTCCTTGTCAGTGCCGTAGAGCTTGGTGTCCTCGCGGTGCTTGAGTGCACCAGGTCCGACTGTTGGAATGGTGGATAAGAAGATGTTGACCTGACCACCGATAGTCGAAAGCGCTGCTTGTGCGCCGCGGACCGCTGCACCGAGCGCTGCATCACCGACCATGCTCTCGCCGAACATGGTGGGAAGATTGTCGAGTAGGCCTTCAATGAGATGGCGTGACTCCCATGCATCCGCCAAAAGACCGTCGCTGATGGGCACGAATGGCTCGTCGATGTCGCCAACTACGAGCATCTGTGCCTGATCGAGCTCCGCTGACAAGTTGTAGAAGTGAAGAGCACGGTCAAAGGTGAGGATGGCGACCTTGGCGCCCTCCAAGAGACCGAATCCTGGGCCGGTGCTGAACTCGGCGTCTGGTGCGCCGTTGGTGCCTTCATTTGTAGAGCTTGTCTTGGGACCGTAAAGTGTCTCGCGGATCGCCTCAACGGAGCAGGCAAGAGCACCAGAGCGAACAGCGCTGTAGCTGACGTCGATGGCGAAGAAATAGGTCAATGGGCGAGGCGCACGTACAGTGGTGCGACCCTTGCCGAGCTGCAATCCGTTGAGCGCCTCGCTAGCCGCCTTGGTAGCTTGCTTTGCTGCTTGTGCGCCCTGACCGCTGAGACCAAGGGTGGTGCCTTCGTAGTCTTTGTTGGCTTCGGTCTTGGGATCGAGCTTGGCGGTTTCTGTCCGAGTGCTAGCTGGTGCCACGGGGAGGAGCACAGATACGGGAGGCGTCGACTGAATGGCCCAGTACTCTTTAGGGACAGCAAAGTCGATTGAGCCGCGCGATAGCTCGGGACGTTGGTCAAAGTCGACACGTCGACCGCTCATGTCGAGGTTGCAAAAGTAATCAGGAGCCACCTCGGTTGCAGTGCCACAAAGATTGCAAGTCCATTCCTGACCGCCTTCGACAAAAATACACCATGCGTTGATGTAGCCTCGACAGCGCTTGCAACGCGGTGGGCCGCTCTCACCGAAAGTGGCGACAGGAATCGGGGACTCGTCGGGACGCAGCTGTGCAAAAGGCTGAAGCAGCACCGCCAGCGGTAGCTGCGCTGTGGTAGCGAGCTCGTCGGTGGCAGGTATGCTGTAGGTGGTGAGTCGGAGATGTTTGGGAGAGCAATTGCCCTGATCGACGGCAGCGAAGCTGGTGGTGCTGAGTGGCATTCCACCCCGTCCACACGTAGCGAACCATTCCTTGTCAAAGAACTCTTGATCGGCGTCCTGCATCTCGACGGGGCTAGGGATCTGATCTGGGTCAATCTTGCTGCGAGGACCTGCGAAACGCTGCCCAGCCTGGTGAGGAGGCTGAGCGATACCACCGGAAGCACCTCCAAGTGCGGCTTGCATGCCTGGAACGCTGCTCTGTTGGTTGGCTGGTAGATTGGGACGAGCTCCGCCTTGAGCCATCATGGCACGGTTGTGCGCAGCTTGTGCAGGTGAGACGACATTGCGCTGTCCGGGCATCTGGTCGAGCGCAGAATCATCATTTGCGTCGTTGAATTGGTGACCTTGCTGCGCTACTCTAGCAGCAGCTGCCTGCTGCCAGGGAGCAGGTGGTGGATTTGGCTGGCTGGGCGCATCGTTCCAGCCGGTGGCGGGACCGGCCTGAGCGTCTGTGTGATAAGCGCGGGCGCTACGCTTGGTCTTAGCTGGGCCGGCCTCGGGCGAGAGAGCTTGTGCTGGAGCTGGACTGGGTTGGCGCGCTTGAAGGTCAAGGCCAGCCATCTGCGATTCTACGCCTGCCATAGCGCCTGGCTGACCAGCAGGACGAGGACTGAGCCTGCCCTGCATGGCGGGATTGGATTGTAGCCCAGCTGCCTGTGGTGGGATACCGCCGGGTGCGCCTGGCTGCTGCGGGAAAGGACGACTAGCTGGAGGTCGCGCACCAGCCATGTTGGCTGAGGGTAGTTGCGCTGGCCTGGCGAATGGCATACCAGGCTGAGGTCGAAGCTGCATGGCCGAGTTGGGCGGCGGACGCACACCTTGCTGCAACTGTTGCGGCTGAGGTGGTTGTATAGGACGTTGCTGCGGGTACGGCTGCTGCTGTTGCTGTGTTGGAAAGGCGCCCTGCTGTTGAGCGCCCGGTGGAGGTCCTGGGCGTGGAGGAACCTGCTGGCCCTGGAAAGCGCCTGGTTGCTGCGGGTTCATCGTGCTCAAATTGGGGGTCTGGTTCGGCGTGAGAGGGAAAATCAATGGCTTACAGTCGTTGCGAAGTATTCAGGACAGGTATGGACGTGGTGAAGCCGTTTCGTGTGACACCGAGCAAAGACCCTAGCTTGGTTGGTGCGATCCGAGCGCGTCCTTCGTGCCAACTCTTCCGCTTGCGCTGCCTTCCTTCCCTCTAGAGCCGGCTGGTGGAAGATGTTGCTGGATCTACGGTAGCTTCTGTAGTTGATGCAGTTGGAGATGGAGGGGAGAAGGCTGGGGATGATTGATGTACAACACGCAAGTCAGAGGAAAGCGTCTAACGTGTCACTCTCTCTCTCACACACACACAAACACACACGCCCCGAGACATTCGAAGGGAAATGAGGTTTCCGCCCGTGCGCTGGCTGTTCAACAAAAGGAAACTTGGCTCCGCAATTTCAGCTCCTGTCTTCCAGCTCAGCAGATTCAAGTCCGATCCTCATTTCGTGCGAGATCTCTGCAATCGGGTGATCAAATTCCTTGTCAATTGTCAGCTCTGATGGCATAACATGTTTTATCGTGCAAATGACGATAGCCTCACGGAAGGTTCCTGCGTACCTCCCTGTGTAACATAGGTTGGGACACATCGCATGATCTCTACACTTACTACATGGACAAGTATCGACAGCACCTCGATTAGCCGCCAAGAACGTGCGGCTGCTATTGGATCAAAAGTGGAACTCACGGCGAACGACTTGCAGCGTTCGGCGACCGACCGTGCGCAAAGCTTTGCCAGATTTTCACGGTGGAAGGAAGGATCGGCGAAAAGCTCGGATTACAAATCCTTGACTTCCGACACGGAACGCAATCATCTGGTGGGAATGTGCTTGTCCTCTGTCTTCTCAGTCGAGTACGTACGACAGAGATTAGAAAGCTTTCTGATGCCTCGTATATCAGACGCAGCCGTCTATGATCTGATCATCACTGTAGACCTTCTGAGCAAGCTGTGTATGAGAAAGATGTGTTCGTACAGAACCCACGTGAAGATGCATGATGCCTAGGTTCGTTTACGCTTTCTGCCAAACCGACATACACCGATTCTGATTTGCTTTCGAGAAGGAAAGAGAGAACATGCAAGCGAACACCTTCGAAGTAGTGGTGCAAAGCAAGCGCGGCTGGAGACGGCGAACTGTTTGGGGCAGAGCAGCCGCAGTGGCGCATTGCCTTCGCATGGCGGACGGGACTTGATCGTGGATCGTTGAAGTCTCTCTGCGTTCGCTTAGCAAGTTCGGTTGATCCATTCGGAACTCGACGCTCAGAGCCGGAACGAAACAGCTGAGTCGTTCTATTGATTCCTCGCACTTCTTCCAAGGTCCGCGTTGGCCGCTCATTTCATTCGGTATGGACACTTTCTTATCTACCCTCCTTACCATCATATCTTTTTTTTCTTTTTTGTCATAATCGTCATGATGGCTTCCCTTCGCACTGGTCTCAGGATCGCTCAGCCCCTGCGAGCTTCGACTCGCAACTTCAACAGCGTCGCTCGCCCCTCCGTCCGTTCGAGCGTGCGTCACTACAGCAGCCCTGCTCCTGGCTCTCAACCTCCTCCCCAGCCCTCATCTAGCTCGTCCACCAGCAAGGTCCTCCTCACTTCGGTCGCCATCGCCGCTGTTGCCGGTGGTGCTTTCCTTGCTCTCGGTCAGGATGACAAGAAGTCCACCCTCGGCGTAGGTGCTGACGGTGCCAACAAGCTCAACGGTTCCAAGAGTGCGCAGGGCGCCCCTGCTGTCGCTCACTCCAAAGAAGACTACCAAGCTGTCTACAATGCCATCGCGGAAGAGCTCGAGTCGAACCCCGAATACGATGACGGCTCGTACGGTCCCATCCTTGTCCGTCTCGCATGGCACGCTTCGGGTACCTATGACAAGAACAGCAACACTGGTGGCTCCAACGGTGCCACCATGCGATTCGCTCCCGAGTCTGACCACGGAGCCAACGCTGGTCTCCACGTTGCCCGTGACTTTATGGAGAAGATCCACAAGAAGTTCCCTTGGATCACCTACTCTGATCTCTGGACACTCGGTGGTGTTGCCGCCGTTCAGGAGCTTGGTGGCCCCAAGATCCCCTGGCGCCCTGGCCGCAAGGATGCCACTGCTGATAAGTGCACCCCTGATGGCCGGCTTCCCGACGGTGACAAGGGGCAGGATCACATCCGATACATCTTCTACAAGATGGGCTTCAACGACCAGGAGATCGTTGCTCTTTCCGGTGCTCACGCTCTTGGCCGATGCCACACTGACCGCTCCGGTTTCGAGGGCCCTTGGACTTTCGCCCCTACTTCTTTCACCAACGAGTACTACAACCTACTCCTGAACGAGAAGTGGAACATGCGCAAGTGGAACGGCCCTCCCCAGTTCGAGGACAAGTCGACCAAGAGCTTGATGATGCTCATGACCGACATGGCTCTTGTTCAGGACCCTTCGTTCAAGAAGCACGTTCAGCGTTACGCCAAGAGCGAGGACGAGTTTTTCAACGAGTTCCGATCTGCTTACGCCAAGCTGCTCGAGCTTGGTGTCCCTGCCGAGAACTTCAAGGCTTTCGAGACCAAGCTTGACGGTGGCAGGCCCTTCGAGTTCCTCACCACCGCGGAGCAGGAGAACGCTAAGCAGTAGATTGATCATGCTTGCGACCAACGACTCAATAAATTGTTATACAGTTTGGAACTAATCAGTTCGTTCAACAGATTCAACCTTGTCTGTGGTCTCAGTTTCGATGCAATGCACATTGGTAGAAGAGTGAGAGCGCCCGACGTCGGTTGACATCTAATCGGCGGTCATAGATTGTAGGCAGAACGCTACTAGTCGGCCTTCGTATCCGATGACAGATATCTCCTGACGAAGGCAACGCATCGATTGTAGCACAGCACAGCCGACGTTACTCGTTGTAGGCGTGAGAAGGCATGAGCTTGAACCAGCGGGGTCTCCTATGTGATAAGCCAGCCTTCCAGACCGGGTCAACGCTGCCCTGTGCGGGTGGGTTGAAGAGTGTCCCACACTGTGATTACAATTAAGAGAGAAGAATGGGGTCCGCGAGTCACGCAAGCTTGTCGTTGCAGCTCCGTTCTTGCATTTTTTTTTTAAGCATTTTTTTTAAGCATTTTTTTTTTTCCTTTTTTTTCTTTGAGGACCTCACGGGTCTTTGCCTGCAATCTACCGAGTTTTTAGCGTGTTATTATAGTCGGTTTAGTTTTAGTTTCGTTTCGTGCGATTGAGTCCAGACGGGATTCCTGAGAATCTTAAGAACACCGCACAGCAACAGCACAGACCGTCGGTCCACTTTCAGAATTGCGTAGACACCAAAGTTAAAAGACCTATTTCGTCCCACGCCTTCTGCAACAACCATGCAACAGCGAACCACCTCTGATCCCACCCTTTCTCTCGCAAGGCCCAGCCCCACACTCTTTCATCACGCTGGCCGCCCCGTCTTCTCCTGCCTTGCGCCACAGCCTCGCTCGAAGTGCTCCGATCAACGCTGAAGTCCGAATTGCATAAAAGCAAGCCAGTTTGGAACGGACGTTACCGCCTTCGAATTCGACGCTCATTCTCCCAATCTTACCTGCCATCCTACACAGCAGAACCCAAAATGTCAGTCCCTTCGGAAGGCCTTGTATCGGTCGCCTCCAACGTGCAACCTCAGTCCATCGGCACAGGCTCTCGCGCTGCTCGTGGCAAGACGGTGCTCATCGACAACTACGACAGCTTCTCGTACAATGTGGTTCAGTTCCTAGCTGAGGCTGGTGCTGACCTTGTCGTTTACCGTAACGACAAAGTCACACTCGAAGAAATCGAAGCCCTCAACCCCGCCAACATAGTCATCAGCCCTGGGCCTGGCCACCCTCTCCACGATTCAGGCATTAGCATTCCAGTCATCAAGCACTTCGCCGGCAAGATTCCCATCCTTGGTGTCTGCATGGGTCTACAGTCCATCTACTCTGCCTACACCGGTCTTGTCGACTTTGCTGGCGAGATCGTCCATGGCAAGACTTCCGAGATCGCTCACGACGGCAAAGGTATCTATGCTGGCCTCCCCGCCCATGGCGTCATCGGAACAAGGTATCATAGTCTTGCTGCCCAGCTTCCAAGCTTGCCAAAGGAGCTTGTTGTCACTTCCAAGACTGCCAGCGGTGTGGTCATGGGTATCCGACACACCCGCTACACTGTTGAAGCCGTGCAGTACCATCCCGAGAGCATTCTGAGCGTTGGTGGCCGCGAGATGATGGTCAACTTTCTCAGCTGGACTGGAGGCACTTGGGATGCCAACCCTCAGGCCAAGGTGGATGCTGCTGCCATCGAGCGTGCTGAGAGCACCACCGAGCCTGTCCTTGCCATGGCTGCCACTGATGATGCTGCAAACGGTGCTCCCGCCCCTGCCGCTGCTGCTCCTGCTGGCACTAATGGACAAGCCGCTGCTGCAACAGGCAGTGTCGGCACTATCCTCGAAAGGATCCACGTGCAGCGACTCAAGGACATCGCTGCCACAAAGGCTGTTCCTGGCTTCTCGCAGCGCGACCTCGACATCTCTCTCTCGCTTCATCTTGCGCCACCACTTATCAACTTCCCCGAAAGGCTTCAGCGCAACGCTTCTCGCGGTCTGCCCGGTGTGATGGCCGAGATGAAGCGTGCCAGTCCCAGCAAGGGCGACATCGACCCTAACGCACATGCTGGTGCTCAGGCCCTCGCATACGCTCGCGGTGGTGCCAGCGTCATCAGCGTCCTCACCGAGCCCAAATGGTTCAAGGGCACCATTCACGATCTTTCCCTCGCCCGACGTGCAGTTGACCACCTCCCCGACCGCCCTGCCATCTTGAGGAAGGACTTTATCGTCGACACCTACCAGATTGCCGAGGCGAGATTGGCCGGTGCCGATACAGTTTTGCTCATCGTCGCCATGCTTACCGACGAGCACCTCAAAGAGCTGTACGACTACAGTCTCAGTCTCGGCATGGAGCCCCTTGTCGAGGTCAACAACCCTGAAGAGATGACCCGTGCCATCCGTCTCGGTGCCAAGGTCGTCGGTGTCAACAACCGCAACCTGCACGACTTTAACGTCGACATGGAGACGACATCGCGCCTTGCCGATGCGGCTAACAAGGGCGGTGTCATCTTGTGCGCTCTCAGTGGTATCAGCGGCCGCAGCGATGTTGCCAAGTACCTCAAGGAAGGTGTTGGTGCCGTTCTGGTCGGTGAAGCATTGATGCGTGCTAAGGACAAGCGTGCTTTCATCCACGACTTGCTCGGTTTGCCTTCGACTGTTTCGGCTGCTGAGACTGTCGCTGGTTCTGTTGTTGGACATGGCTCGCTGGTCAAGATCTGCGGTCTGTCTACTGTTTCGGCTGCGGTTGCTGCTGCCGAAGCTGGTGCGGACATGCTAGGTATGATCCTTGCTCCTGGCACAAAGCGCACTGTGCCCCTCAACCAGGCAGCTGAGATTATCAAAGCTGTTCGCTCGCTCCCCGGCTCCACATCTGCCGATGCCTCCTCTCTTGATGTCAACGCCATTGCCGGGTCAATCGAAGAAGGCGTCACACCCGAGGACTGGTTCTCACTTACAGCCAAGAAAGTCAGATCGCGCGTCGGTCGTCGACCTCTCATCGTCGGTGTCTTCCGCGATCAACCTCTCGCTGAAGTCGCAGCTACTGCTCAACAGCTCGATCTTGATGTAGTCCAACTCCACGGTCGAAGCGAGGCTACAGAATGGGCCAAGTTCCTCCCTGGACGTCTTGTCATTCGAGTTTTCTCCGTCGGTCTAGATGCCACGATCGGTAAAGACCTTCTCAGGGAGGTGAACAGACCAGGATACCACCATCTCGCAGCACTAGACACTGCCGGTACTGCCTCAGGTGGAGACGGAGGGTCAGGCCAGTCTTTCGACTGGTCGATTGCTCAGCAAATTAGAAACGCCGACCCTTTGCCAGCTGTTGTGGGTGGGTCGGACCTGAGATCTATGCCTGTATTGCTTGCTGGTGGTTTGACCGCTGCGAATGTGGCTGAGGCGATCAAGATCGCTCAGCCCTTGGGTGTGGATACTAGCTCTGGTGTCGAGACAGATGGGAAGAAGGATTTAGCCAAGATCAAGGCCTTCGTTGCCGCTGCTAAGGCTGCGTCTGCCTAAACCTGACCTGCCCTCACTCGATCTGCTTCAGATGTTCAGCCTTCATGTTTTCATGTCAATCGATAATCACGTCTCACTTTCTCCCCGCCTGCTCTCGTGCTTCAGTTGAGAACCACATCCGCTGAGGTGTGAAGAAAATTGATTTTGGATTGTGATCTTCTGTGTAGAGAGCGAAACGTTACTGTATGCGCCTTGACTTACCTAAGACTAATTGTAGTGTGCGTATGAATGCATGGGGAGTGTGTAGAGGAGTGTGACGTGGAGCTAAATCCAGTGCAGTGTGTATGTGGGAGAAGGGAGATGCAAGATTGAGAGTTACAGAGGTTATGGGTATTACATGAATGGAGCAGAGAAGACGACTTTTGTGTGTGGAAGAAGTGCAACGGCGAGGTCGCAGATGTGCGAAGAGAGAGAAGATCTGGAGTGTAGGCTGTTGGAGCCTTGCTGAGTGCGAATGGGTGATTCACTTTGTGGCCTTCTTGACCATTTCCCTTGCCCAAGCGGCTGTCTTGCGAGTTTCGGAGCCATTACCACGTCCACGACCCAGCTTGATGAACTCGGCAACCCAAGCGCCTGTGAGAAGCACCTTGAGCTCGCCGTTGGGGAAAGCACTGGCCAAGTCACCTAGCAGACCAAGTGCGCCACGAATGAGGGGTTCTGACGCCTGGCTCTGTGCCTGAGCTTGTGCGACGAGAGCAATGAAAGCAAACATGCCCTCGACGTAAGGCTGCAATGCTTCGACACGGTTGCCAGCACGCATACCCGAAACGGTGCCGACGTATGCTTCGCAGATACCTTCGCGCAGCGAGTTGATGTAGTCGATCATGTCGTAGTCGTTGGGGTCAACGGTCTGGATAAGCGAAGCCTGCTGCAGCACCGACATGCCCATCTGAAGGTACTTCTCGAACGCAGGACCGATAGCCATGGCAATGTCACCGAAGCACGAAAGAATAGGTGGCTTGACGCTACGGTTGAGCTGAGGCGACTGAAGGTTGGCAAAGAGTGCGTTCATGAAGTCGTCGCAGTACTTGGCCGAGTTCTCGCCGAGAGCACGGCAGATATCGCCGATGAGGCCAACGCTGATCGAGCAGAGCTGGTACTCCTCGTGGTTGCGAAGACCCTCAACCATGAAGGGAAGGAAGGCGCCAAGGTACTTCTCGAAGTCAGCATCGAAGGCAGCGATAGCGGCACCGACGGTGAAGAAGGCATCTTCCAGCACAGTGGGCTGCTTGGCACCGTTCTGGATGAGCGTCAACAGGTTGGTCATTATGCGGTCACCCAGAGGTAGTGTCTCGCGACCGAGGCGGCGGACACAAGCCATCAAGACACTGCAAAGGTTGCCCTGGAGCTCTGCCCAGTTGTTTCGGTCGTCCATGCCGACGAGCTGACCTGCGACCTCGTTGAGCTGCTGCTGTCGGTCAAGGATCTGCACCAAGACGCCGCTGGCCTGGTGAACGCAGTCAGCGGCGCAGTGAGTGACGGAGCTCGCCAATGCCTCATAGGCGGATGTACGACTGTTGGACTCGTTCGAGCTGCGGCCGGTGGCCTGGAGCAAACTGCCAACAATTCCCTCGAAGAAGGGCGAAAGAGGTGTAGTGGAGGCAGTAGCTGCGTCAGAGCCCTCACCGTTCTCGTAGGCCAGAGCGTTGGCACCAAGCTGCTCTGAAAGATTCATGATGGCCCAGCAGCAGTTGGTCACGATACGAGGCTCGTCTTGCAAGCCAAGCACAAGAGCCTGGACGAGTGCGGGAAGGTGAACGTCAGTCTTGATCGAGTCGCAGCAGAGATCCGAGATGCGTCCCAGAGTCCATGCGGCTGTGTCCTTGACTGCGATGCTCTGGTCACGCAGCATTTCGATGATGGTAGGGAGTGCCGACTCAACGAGGGGTGCGAGTGTCTTACGATCGGGGCCTTCCATGATGGAGCCGAAGCACATGACGGCAGCTTCACGAGCGTGCCAGTCGGGGTTCTTGATGTTGCCCTCAACGAAGGGTACAGCCAATCGGACAATATCGTCACCGACCACCTGGGCGAGCAAGCCAACACAGGTACCTGCGGCCTTGGAAACATCCCACTCGTCCTCATCGGCGTCCTCGTCCTGCGTCTTGAGCAACTCGAGCAAGACGGGGACGATCTCGGGCAAAGCGATACGGGCAAAGTTGTAGCAGATGCGTTCGGGCTCCTCACCGAACTCGGCAGCCTCCTCAGCCTCGAGGGCCAGCTCGATCTCCTCGTCGCAGACAGTGGACCAGAACTCGACAGCTTGAAGCGCCACCTTGGGTTCCGAGTCTCGCATGCCGAGAACGGTGAGACCGAAGAGAGCCTGCTCCATGTAGAAGCGCATCTTGTCGTAGTAGAGCTGCATGATTCGGACGAGACATTCGTAGGCGGCCACCTTAACGGGCATGTTGGGACTCTGTGTCGCTTCGCAGACCACCTGCATGATGTAGTTGCGCTCACCCTCTCGCTCAAAGTTGGCACGAACGAACTCGAGCGAGTTGAAGAGCGCCTGCAATGCAGCGAGCTGGACCTCTGGTGCGGGCTCCTCCTTGCGTGCACCTTGAATGACGGCCGTGAGGATCTCGTTCGACTGGGCTGCCAAAACATCGGAGCTGATGCCTTCACAGGTGAAACCGATAGCTTGAAGAGCAGCTTGTCGCAAGCGCATGTTGCTGGCATCACCCATAGCGCTGAGAAGTTGGGAGATGAGCTCGTTCCAAAGACCCACTGGCAACTCGATGGCGGCAATTGCGGCAATGACCTGGGCGGCAGCAGTTCCCGCACGGTGCTCTTGGCTGCCAAGAGTGCTGAGAACCTTTTGCTTGATATCATCGCGGCTGTCTTGCGGCAGGAGTGTCCATCTTGCCGTATATTCTTCCACTCGAGTTGGGTCGCGCGCCGTCAAGGCATTCTTGACTGCAATACCGGCAGCGGTTCGAATATGCGAGGGAGAGGATTCGTTGGCAAGCTCAGCAGCGAGCGTGCTCATGTAGACAGGGTAGCTGTCGCGAGCAGCTGCCTCCAGTTTCTGTTCGGCATCAGTGCGGATAGCCTGATCCGGCGAGAGCGTATTTGTCAAGAGCTGGTTTGCGTCCATAATCGGCGACTTACGCGACTATTCGAGCCGCTATGTGATGGGAAGATGCGAGAGTCGGAAGGCAGTGCGGACGGCCACTGAGAAGGAAGAAGAAACGGGTTCGTTTGCAGCGGTGCGAGAAGAGGAGCGAGCCGATCAAAGCCGTGCGACTCAGACAAGGTGATTTCGGAAGAGGTGAGAGGCGATGTTGATGATGAGATAGATCGAGGAAATGCGGATGAAGGTGTGGCGGAAAAGGATTGACGAATGTGTTGATGTGCGACGCAGTTGACTTAAGAGTTGAGTTGGCTGCGAACTTTTTTGACGTTCAAGTGTTGCTCTCTCTCCCTCTGTGCGCCAGTTATGAGTTGCTTGCTTCCTTTGGCTGAGCAGAGAGGAAGAAACACACACACTCGCACTTACACTGACACAGTCTCACACACTCAAACACACACGCTTGAAAACCCGCGCTTTTCCAAGTCACGGTAAGCTGCCATTTCGAGCCTTTTCACTGCACTCGCCCGACACAGCCTGCCGCAAGATTCAAAATGTAACCGATTCTCTCTGCTCGCGCGGCGTGACCAAAAGCTAACTCACAGCTCAATTACGTAATAATATCATCACCCTCATTTAATCTAAGATTCCAAATACATTCTGTCTGCAGCCTCGTGTCTGATCTACACAACACTCCACAATAGAGAGCTAGAACAACATGTTGAGGAATACACAAGCGAGGGGCGGCAAATGAGATAGCAATCATGACAATTAGAAGACAACTAAGTACAAAGCAATGCCAGGTATATGTCAGAGGTTTCATGCCTGAAACCTGATATCTGTAGTAGAGATGTGTCTATTACAGATCCTGTCAAGATATGTGGTAACATGCTGTGTATTATTATTCTTGTCAAGTTATGTCATAGAAAGGCCTCTATGACTTTCCTCACTTGAATCTGTGATAGATTAATTGATATTGCAGGTTTTGACTGACCACTGTGGACACTCCATCCAGAGGTAGCTTGGCACAATCAATAACAATAGATGTATTGCAATGACACCAAGGTCTGGTGTGAGTGATGTTGTTGGCACTGACATGAGTGTCCAGTGTGTTGACTGAGTGCTTGAAGTGATCCCTGGACTGCAGTGGATGACTGCCTTCGGTTCTATGATTGTGAGCTGAACTGCAGGTTACTATGAACTGCCTTTGGTGTTGATCATTATCTGGACTGCAGGTTACTATGAACCGCCTTTGGATTGTCAGTGAGTGGTGATACAACACACATGCTACAATGGAAGCAATCTATTGTGATTGCAACTTGCTGATGGAAACTACTAAGTATACTTATGCTGAAGTGCTAACTAGTAATATATGGTGTAGAGTGGATGCCTCTCCACTCAACTACTATGACGAGGATGTCACGCCTGGGTACCCTCTCGTGCGAATACTAGCTGTACAAGAATGCTCAGCTAATAGCCTCTTGTGCACATGTGCATCAGACAGCAAGTTTGTTACCTTGCACCATAGTTCGATGCAAAACTTGCTCTTGCGATCTTGCTTGTATGAAGAATAGTACTTAAACCAGCTTCCAACTCATCTCCTCCTTCTTGCAATCCATCTACTTTCACTGTTACAACATGCATATAGCCTGTGCATGTAACATTGGTAGCACTCGTCTTCTCACAACAGCAAGAACTCCTTCTACTCGACCATGGTCGATCACCTCAAGCAACATAACTCCACACTACGTTACTCGTGTGCAAGGCGGCTCCTTGTTGCCACTGCTCGATCACCCCGACCATCCAGAGGTATCTCCCTACCAGAGGATGCCATCAACAACCTCCTTCCTCGAAAGCTCTCCTCCCTCCTCAATTGCTTTGAACATGCCTGTGGCCAATATGCTGCAACCAGGAAGTGCACATACAGCCACTTCCGCCACCATTGCCAATGACTCCAATGCACCAGCATGGGTTCGAATGCTCCTTGAGCAGCAAGCACATGCTCACTGCACTATGGAAGAGCGACAGGCCAACATGCTTGAACAGCAGGCTTCCACCTTTCACCTCCTTGAGACCTTCATTTTGAATCAAGGACCTCAGGCTCAACACTGGTTAGAGCCCGAACAAACAGTGCCAGAGCACCGACCTCCCATTTCTCTGCATCCTTCCGACTATGCCTGAGAGGAGCATAACTTCAGGCATAACTGTGAGGAACATAGCTATGGTCGAGTTTCCCCTCATCACCCTGATTACGAGCACAATGACTGTGCCCACACTCATGGTGATCAGAACCATACTCACGATATCTGTACCTCAGCAGTTCCCCAGCTTCTCCTTAAAGATCATTCCTTGAAACCTGAGGAGATTGCTATTTTCAATCCTGGCACTGGAGATGATGTAGAAGTCTTCTGTCAGTGCATTCAGGACATAGTGGCCTTCAAGAGTCAGGCTGCCATTTGCAAAGTCTTACCACAGTGCCTGCATTCCACAGCTATGGATTGGTACACAAACCTTAGTGACATTGAATGTGCTCAGCTCTGTGTGAGTTCTGACACATGGCAATGCCTCCTTTGTGATCACTTTGGTAAGAGCATTACTGAGGCCCACAGCACCCTTAGCTCCCTGTGCTACAACCTTGCCAGTGACTACCACACCTACCACAAATGCAAAATTCACCTTGCATGCATTGCCAGTATCACCATTCCCAAACAGATTGTCCAATCTCTCTTTGCAGGCCTACCCTTCGACATGAGGAATGCTCTTGCTAGCAGCCTTGAGGGCAAGAATGCTGGAGACCTTAACATCTTTTGTCATCGCTGTTTGGCACAACATGCTATGCTTCTCATGTGTCACACTGAACAATGCCATGCACCTCCTCCTACCTTCAAGGCCCCTCAACATTCTCAGCTGCAACAACAAGTTGCTTCTTGTCCTTCCTTCCAACCCCTTCCATTGGCCGATCGCTCAGTTAAATGGCCCCCTCCTCGCCTGTGCCATCACTGTAATGGCTCACACTGGGATGCCGATTGTATGAAGGTGGGCAAGCCCTTCATCCACTTTAACCCCCTGGTGGCTGCTCACCACATGGACCTCACTGGATATGATGACTCAGATTATGCAGTGCTCGAATACTGTTATCTTGAGGATAGCCAGAAAATTCCGCTGGCAGACTCAGATGTGGATGACATGCCAGGCATGAGCTACTCCCTGGAACCTTCCAGAGATGATTCCTTTGGCTCCAACTAGGAACTCGAGGAGAGGACCTCACCTGAGCCCTCTCCACTCAAAATGCCTCCTGACTGGCCTTTTGTCAGCCATGTCTCCAACCCAACCTTGCCAGTTATTGATGCTGTGGCTCTGCCTCTCACCTTTCAATTAGCACCAATGTATTTGCAAATTAACGTCCAACCACCAGGTGGAAACATCTTCTCGGCCTGCCTTGATACTGGGTCATCCATCTTGCTCATTGATGACACCACATTGCAGCAGTTCAAGCACAAGCTCATGCCCAGTGACCTTGTCATCAGAACAGCCAGCACCCCAACCAGGGTAGAAAGTTGCACCACATTTCTCCTGCATGTGCCCTGTCAGGCACAGGCCATCACATGTGTGCATCTTAAGTGCTACATCATCAAGCACCTTCCTCCCAGTATCATCCTCAGCATGGACTTTGTTCTCCAACATGGCATTCTTTATGATGCCATTAAAGGTTTTGTAACTCTCCAGTCCTGCAGCCTCTGTACCAAGGCACTTAGCAAGGTGGGTTCACCCAATCCAGAACCCAGTCTGGTCATCACACATGTATCTACTCCACCATCACCAGAGATCTTGGCACTGGACATGTGCACTCCCCTGGATATGGACAGATACCAATTACCATTCACTGTCATACCAGATCAACCCCATTCTGATGAGCTGCCAGTGTTTGATGATGGTGTCTCCAATGCCCTTTGGCAATGGTTCCTAGGTGCCTTCTCAGAGTTTCCCAATGTATGGAGACCCGAACTCGGCCTCTTGCGGTCCAGTGAAGCGATGCACCTCCTGTCTGTTGCGCTAGATGCAAATCCTTGCCTGTTCAAACCCAGGCTCTACTGTGTTTCACCATGGGACCAAAAGGCTATTGATGTTGTCTTCGACGAACTCACATGCCAGGGACATTGTCATGGGCCTAGATGCTCAAGAAGCAGGAGGGTCACTGGTTCATATGGAAGGAGCACAGGTATTGAAGATCTAGTCGATACCAGTAGAGAGCATGGCCATAGTGCAGTCTCCATGGAGACCATGGACTCCTATGGACTCACATGCAAAGGAGGACACAAGCCACATGCAAGGAGGGCCAGGCACAGCCATGAGGAGGACCAAGCTCAAGGAGCAGGCACAGCCACGAAGAGGACCAAGCTCAGATGGTTACCACTCAGGGGCTCGAGAGACAAGAGTCAAAGGAACTGTCACCAGTCAAAGGAAGAGGAGCAGTGTCGAAGGAGTTGACACCAGGTCATGAGGAGGAGGAGCAGTGTCGAAGGAGTCGACACCACTCAAGAGGCACAGGGGTGCCAAGCAGGAGAGGCCCCTGAGCAGTACTCGATGAAGAAGGTACTCTCTGGAGAGAGAGCAGGAGCAGCATCGCTGGCAATGCTGTGAAGAGGTATATAACCATGCTTTCTCATCATCATAGGTCGAGTGGATCCTCATCCACTCTACTCACCATACAACTAGTCAATACTTTAGAAACATAAGTACTCATTAGTTACAGTCAGCATAGCAGCAATCTATCAAGGTTGCTCCTCATCGTAGTGTGTGTGTTGTATCACCACTACCTGACATCTGTAGGTGCCCCATAGCAGGTTAGTGGTCCGGATATAGATAGAACCGAAGGCAGTAGTCCACTGTGGTCTGGGGATCACTTCAAGTGTCAAAGTCAACACACTGGACACTTGTGTTGATGCCACCAACCTTATCACCAACACCATCAACCTCATTATCATCAACACTCACCAACCTTATCACCAACATCATCAATCTCATCATCATCAACACTCACACCAGACCTTGGTGTCATCATGACCGAAGCATTGATATTGATCATGCCGAGCTACCCCTGAACAGAGTGTCCACAGAGGTCAGCCAAAACCTACAATAGCATATACAACGAACGCCACCTGCTGTCACTGCACAACTTGATAGTCACCGATACCGAGACAATAGCTGTCGCACAGTTTGATAGTCACCGAGTATCTCGACAGACCGACCTGGGTTTCAGGCGCGAGACCCCTGACAGACATCTGGTGCCTGCGCCTCTGGGTACACCATGTGGCTGGCCAGTATTCATTGTTTACTGAGATGGTAAACCACAACCAGTCATTGACTTATGCCAGCTTAACGACAATGTCGATCCAGATGCATATCTGTTACCAATGCTGGATGAACTCTGGGAATGCCTTGCTGGTGTGAAATACATCACCATGTTCAACCTGCATAAGGCATTCTATCAAATGCTGCTGCACCCAGACAATCACTGGAAGGCAATGGTCCTCACCCACAGGGGGCAGGAGACCTTATCTTGCACAATCATGGGGCAATCTCATTTGGTGGCATTTTTGCAGTGGGTCCTAACAATGGCATTCAAGACAGCAGGCTTGGCCGATGTAGCTTTCATCTATGTCGATGATTTCGGGGTTTGGTCAAGGAACCTGGATGATCATGAGTGGCACATGTGTGCTGTCTTATGCCTCATCCAAGACCTGGGCCTGACGTTGGCACAGGATAAAGCTCATGTCACACACAACAAGGTACCCCTTCTCGGGCATCTCATTTCTGGCAAAGGCACTCGAACCATGCCCTCTAAATGTCAAGCTATTCAATCCATACCTTACCCCTCAACCTTGGCACAACTAGAGCATGTAATCAGATTCTTTTCATACTACAAGAACTATGTACCCTGTTTCTCAGCTCTTATTGCTCCCCTACAACATCTCAAAATGACTCTACTACACCCTTCCCCTAAAACCGGTCATGCCCATAAGTGTTACTGTGCTGGGACATCTGTTCCAGATGACCCTAGCACTCACCAATCTCTCACAGAACTGAAGTCTATCCTGCAGAATTGCACCTTAAGGTTTCCAGACTACACCCAACCCTTTCTGCTCTATGTCGATGCTTCATAACAACACGGATTTGCATTGGCACTCCACCAAAGTCGTTCGGAAGCGGATGCTGACACCAAAATACCCTGCTTGGACGCTGTCATGGGCCTGAATGCGCAGGTAGCAGGAAGACCCATTAGTTCATATGAAGGGAGCGCAGGAATCAGGGGATTGGGCAGATCATAGGAGTTGCAGCAGAATTCGCCAAGATCTGCAGTAGAATCGGCTCTATGACAGATCTTGGTGCAATCAGTATGAGCAAGGATGATATCACAGATTCTGCTGAGATTGGTAGTAAGCATGATCATAGGGCAGATTCTGCAGAGATCAGCAATAGGGATGTTCATACAACATTTCACATGCAAGGAGGACCAAGCTCACATATGGGGAGGACCAAGCTTTGCCAAGATGGGGACCAAGCTCAGCGACACACAGACAGTTACCACTCAGGGGCACACAAGATAGGAGTAAAGAGAACTGTTGCCGATCGAAGGAGGAGGAGCAGTGTCAAAGGAGTCAACACAGCTCAAGGAGGGCAGGAGCAACAAGCAAGCATGGTTCGAGGAGGAGGAGGAGCCTTATCAGGGGCCCTTGGATAGTACTTGACGAAGAAGGTACTCTCTGGAGAGAGAGAGCTGGAGCAGTGTCGCAGGCAACGCTGCATAAGATGTATAAAAGCATGCCTTCTCGTCATCAGTGGATGAGTGGATCCTCATCCACTCTACACACCATATTAACTAGTTATCACTTTAAGCATAAGTATACATTAGTTACAGTCAGCACAGTAGCAATCAATAGATTGCTCATCATTGTAGCACATGTGTTGTATCACTGCTCACTGATGTCTGAAGGTGGTTCTTAGTAAACCAGCAGTCCAGATTAGATAGAACTGAAGGCAGTTGTCCACTGCAGTCCGGGGATCACCTCAAGCGATAGTCGACACACTGGACACTTGTGTCGGTGCCACCAGTACCCACACTCACACCAGACCTTTGGTGTCATCATCAAGTTCACCACTGAAGTATTGATATTGATTGTGCCAAGCTACCTCTGGATGGAGTGTCCACAGTGGTTAGTCAAAATCTGCAATAGCATTTCTACAACTACAGATTTGAGCAAGAAAAGTGATAGAGATGGCTCTATCACATATTTCACCAAGAATCGTAATACCACTAGTGTTGTCGCATAACTCGACAGAATCAGTAATAGTATCGATACTACTACCGATCTCAGGTTTCAGGCATGCGCCCGCTGGCAGACGCCATCCATCCCAACTCGGCCGATACTACGGCTGAAGTTCCGATTTGGTTTGACTCTCGAGCCCTCTGTCATGGGCCTGAATGCTCAGGAAGCAGGAGTGTCACTGGTTCATATGGAAGGAGCACAGGTATCGGAGATCTAGTCGATACCAGTAGAGAGCATGGTCATAGTGCAGTCTCCATGGAGACCATGGACTCCTACAGACTCACATGCAAAGGAGCACTGAGCCATATGCAAGGAGGGCCAGGCACAGCCACAAGGAGGAGCAGGCACAGCCACGAAGAGGACCAAGCTCAAGGAGCATGCAGATGGTTACCACTCAGGGGCTCAAGAGACAAGAGTCAAAGGAACTGTCACCAGTCAAAGGAGAAGGAGCAGTGTATAGGGAACCAGCAAGCAGGTCCTGAGGAGGAGGAGCAGTGTCGAAGGAGTCGACACCACTCAGGAGGCACAGGGGTGCCAAACAAGCAGGATAGCAAGGGGGAGGAGCAGTGTCGAAGGAGTCGACACAGCTCAAGAGGCACAGGGGTGCCAAGCAAGCAGGAGAGGCCCCCTGAACAGTACTCGATGAAGAAGGTACCCTCTGGAGAGAGAGCAAGAGCAGTGTCACTGGTGACACTGTGAAGAGGTATATAACCATACTTTCTCATCATCAAAGGTCGAGTGGATCCTCATCCACTCTACAACCATCATAACTAGTTATCACTTCAGCATAAGTATATATTAGTTTCAGTCAGCATAGCAGCAATCTATCAAGGTTGCTCCTCATTGTAGTGCATGTGTTGTATCACCACTACCTGATGTCCAAAGGCAGTTCATAGCAAACCAGTGGTCTGGATATAG